CGAATTTGTTTCCGCCTAAAATGCTGCGACAAGTCTTACTTCTTGAAAAGCAGCTAGCGAAATGAAGGCGCATGAAAACCTGGCGCACTGTGAGCCATCGACCCACTTCCAAAATTCTCACCAGCCTATATCCATGCCGCAATTTGGCATCTACACTGTGGAGGCAAATGTTTACCTAACGACCCAAAATACCTACCCGCTCGTGGAATTTCGTCTCCCCAGGAAAGACAATGCTAAAATGGAGGAATAATCTAGGGAAGCTGGATAGCCTTATTTGCCAAATGACAGATGAGTCGAATAGGCAAGATTGTGCACCAGTGTGTTGACATTTGACATAGACATAGACATAGACATAGACATAGACAATAGACAAGATTATGCACCACCCTAGATGCATAGCCAGCATAGCAGCCATGACATTTGAATAAAGAGCGATAACAATTATCATCCCTACCCCCTCCCTTCCCGGTCATCGGGCCCGCCTTCCAGAAAAAAAGTTCCTGAAGTGCATCCCGAGCTTGCCCCCCACTTTTTGAAACGTTCCTACGCCTATGCCCAAAAGTAAGTTTGGAAATGATGAAGTCATGGGTATCATGCATTACTATCATCGTCATGCATTACCATAGGTCCGGTGTTCAAATTTAAAGAAGGATTGCCTATCATTTCCACTGAAGGTATCGAGAGCACACGCATTATAAGTGTGTAAATTGCCACCATTATTTTGCCTAGATGGGATATGTTTTAGTCATAGTCATAGTCTGTGAACGGGGAATATTTCCACTGAAAGTATCGAGAGCATAGGGACTATAAATTTGTAAGTCGCCGGCCATCATGTTGTATAGAAAAGGATAGAGTTTATTCATAGTCACAGTTAGTCATAGTCATTGCTATTGTAATGAAACAACTATCTGCGCTAGCCACTCACCAGATGTCGCCAACATTTGATAGATGAATTGACGCATGCTGCAACCATCTGGCGCATTTGCATCAGCCGTATTTAGCTCATTGACTATTTTGATATCAGCAGATGGCGCATTTGCATCAGCCGTATTTAACTCATTGACTATTTTGACATCAGCAATACCAACGAGCCATGGCACAAAGGCAGAGCGGAAAGCCACAAACGCTGCGAGAGTGTTCGGTCTTTTTTCTTTTAAGCATTGGTTTGTACTTAATGACCCTGCTTATGACATCACACCTTCGCTGATTATATTAAATGCAAGCAGCCAAAATCAGAACAAAAATCAGGGCGTAGAACGGTGTAAAATGAATGGTTTTATGCAAGAACTGAGGCGACTCAATAGCATCGCTGATGTACTAATCATCAGGGCCTCAACAATAATATAGTTACATAATCAATATTCCGGGCTATCGTCCTCAACAGGCACTTTAGCAGGTGCATAATCTTTCGTTCGGTAAGTTCAGTTAGTTTTTCTGGTCGTAGTCAGGTGTTATTGAGTCCTGAATAATTGATGATGTCGAACAGTCAAACATAAAAAGGATCATGACACGAAACATCTCCCTGGACTTACTCCAGCAATTCCAAGACGTAATTCATACTGTCATTGCGGCGAATATTTGAGGGGACCTTTTCCAAGTGATTACAAGTGTTGTGAGTAGGTAAGCTGTCGCCAGAATGTCCTTTCCCAAGACGGACTGACGGGACCGGGATCACTTGACCTTAACTGCGGGATCCGGTGACTTGTGAGACGCCAGCTGCAGCGGTGAGCGCAGGAGGCTGTGAGGTCAGCTGCAGCGGTGAGCGAGGGAGGCGGTGACACGTCAGCTGCAGCGGTGAGCGAGGGAGGCAGTGACGCCAGCTGCAGCGGTGAGCACGGGAGGCTGTGACGTTAGCTGCAGCGGTGAGCGAGGGAGGCGGTGAGCGAGGAAGGCCGTGACACGTCAGCTGCAGCGGTGAGTTTAGGAGACAGTGACTTCAGCTGCGGCGGTGAGCAAGGGAGGCGTTGCCTCGGCCGCCGGTCATCGGATGCGCCGGTGACCACGATTGACCTCGGTCAGGTCAGCCAGCCCAGCGGCAGGCACATCAGGACGGCTCTGGGACATCAGCGGCCGGGCCCGATTTGCGACCCGTCCGGTCACACCCGCGGCCAACAGCAAAACCACTCCAACCGCAATGGCACACGGCAGGAGCCGCGCGGCACACGTACGGTCAGTATACTAAACGTTAAGCGTGGCCCTGTCGGCCACAATGCTCGATACATATTCATGTTTGGTTGCCGAGCCACCATATTTGGAGCACCCTGCAGTGGAACATAACTGAAGCACGCCACATGGGAAGTAAACACACCACATTTATGATAATATGCTCGATGGCCTTGTAGTTTCTGTTCGCGAACGCCAAGGATATCACGTCATTCCACCTGCTCGTCCGATGTGTTATGTACAGCTATTTTGCGCTCTGAAGAATATCTTGAACCTGGTCTCCGTTGAGATCAACACATGCAATATTTCAAAATGCAAAACCTCCCAAACGCGCTTCGAGTTTCATGCTTCTGGTACAGTTCCCGGTGGCCGCGCCACCACAACGCGACGGACCACGCCAAGGCTTGATGCGTGACCGAAGCGCCACATACCGCGGCCAAAATAATCCGTCAGAGCGGCATTCACGGCTCACACGTCACGGGCAGAGACGGCTACATCGTGGAAGGCGGATCGTGCGAGCACCGGTGCACAGTAACTCCAAGGTATATGTGGCTTCCGCTATGGCAAGCAAAGCCCTCCGTGTTCCTTGGCTCAATACAATCCGCTGACTTAGCGGACCAAGTTACAGCAGACCAACATTCATGGATGTTGCGTCACAAAGAGTCGACAACTGCACCCAAAACACCATTCACAGCTGACCGGCCTCGGGGCGTGAGCGTACGGGCGGCGTGAACCGAGCCGCTGCGTCCGGCGCCGGCGCGGACAGCGGTGCCACCGTTCCATGAGGGTAGGTGTCGCGTCCGCGTCGTCGGACAGCGCCGCCGGACGGATGGTACAGCCAGCCGCCCGGCCGATGAAGTCACCGGACCGGTTTGTCTGCAGAGTCCGGCTGGGGCTTGCTGGAGCCATGCCAGCAGCGGCAGGGGTCGCCGGACACCGGGCGTTTTCAATGTTTCGGGCGACAAAGGCGCTCGGCACCTGCAGCTTGTAAACACCACCCGCAATCTGCCTTCAAGCATGTTGGAACGTTGAGTGTATGCAACGCCAGTCTGCCGGGCTGAGCGCGCGATGCACTTGCTCAGCAAATCCCCAATAGGAAACGCCATTACACACGACATGGCCACGGATATGTGAACAGTACCAGGCAGGAGCAGATAGCTTCGCTCCATCTCTTGGTTCGATCGCATTCTCAAACGTTTCGAAGGAGAGCTGACAGCGTGTCGTCCGAGCTGACGGCCGTGGCCGGCCGGGTCGCCGAGCTGCAGCGGGGCCGGACCTCGAGGTGCCAGGGCACGCCGGGGGCATGCGTCACCCAGCCGCCGAGGGGGCGCGATCAGAGACGTGACTCACCTGACCTCGGCGAGGGCACCGCTGGACAGCCAGATAGTGCAGCAGTCAGGGCGTCAGGGGGCCAGCCCGGGCCGCTTGGGGAGCAGCACCGGCCTGCTGTTTCAGCAGGTCAGCTGTTCCGCCCTCAGCTGTGATTGTTCGCTCGAGCGCGCTGTGCGTGACTGCGGACTGTGGCACAGCGGTAGGTTTGTGAGGTCAGCTCAGGACAACCAAAGCATGATAAGGTTAAAATCACGCCCAAGGCGCACACTAGATAACCGGGACTCAAGAAGGTCCCGGACATCTGCTCTTAAGATAAACCTTCGGCACTGGTGTTCAGTATGACAGCATGTCTAGTCGAGATGCCCGAGATCATTGTCATCGTCGCTGGTTAATTCCCGGTCGTATTCACACGCTCAATCAGTGTCAACTACTGGCATATTATTCACAACCAGATGCCGGTACCAGCGCCATCTAAGGGGTGCCCGCCCTCGTGACATCTCGAGTGAAAAACAGTCCACCAAGCTGCAGCCAGTTGCAGCGTGTGTTGTGAGCCTTCCTACAATACAAGTGAGCTTAGAATGGTCAAAACACCTGGTGCACCACCAACGCCGACGCACAGACGTGCGTGTGGCAGGTTGTGGTGCGGCAAAGGCGTTTGACGGCGTGACACGGCACCGAGCTCGTCGTCACCGACACCCGGCCGGAAGAGCTGACGGGCGGACAACAGCCCCGGCGGCTGGCGGCGGACCGGAGGACCAGGCGTCCAACAGCCCCGGCGGCTGGCGGCGGACCGGAGGACCAGGCGTCCAACAGCCCGCAGGACGCCAGGCGGGGCTCTGAGCTCCGGAGCAGCTGCCTGCGATCCCACCGCCGAGCTAGGCTGACGGCCGACGGCTCAGGGAGCTGGACGGGCATCGCGCCCGCCGGCCGTCTGCTCCCATTCCCCGTCGACGGACCTCCCCTCGAAATCCGGTAACGCTAGGGCGTTGTCCACTAGCGGATTCTGATGAGGTTGTCGCGTCCAGGTTTAGTAATAATATGGGCCTTGTAAACGGGCCAGGCCTCCGAACCAAGCTCACTGTGGCGAGGCGGTCACTGTTCGGGCACGAGCCTGGCGCCTCGCTTCCGATAGAGACGCGGCGGCGGCCGCGGGCGCCAGCGGAGCGGAACTCGAGCACGCGGTATGGCCGGCCGGCCGTGGCGCCGCCCGCGGCCCCGTCCGGCTCCGGATCGGGCCCGCTTTCCGCCCGCCATCAGCACCTGGCCGGCGGGCTCCGGCCGGCCAGGCGCGCCGCCAGGCAGCACACCTGGGGGGCGTCGCCGACACAGCCCGGGCCGCCGCGCGCCACCGCCCAATGGCGGCGCGCGGCGGTCCGGTCCGGCTGAGCTGCGCCAGGGGCGTGCCCAGCGTGCGCCACGACGGCGGTTGCTGGCTCCGCCCGTGCGGCTGGCGTCCGGGCTCGGTCGGCGTACGGGCCGACTGCTAGTCTGCCGGTGGTAGCGGCCGGCCGGGAGGCGGACGATGGGAGACAGCCGCCCGGCCAGGCCTCGCTCCGACAGGCGAGCGGCGCGCTGGACACACGAGCTGTGAGCGGCGCAGTGACGTGCCAGGTGGCACGTGTGAGTGAGCAGTGCGCCCCACGCCGCCTGCCAGTCCACGGGGAAAGACAGCGCGACGTGCTCGCCCAGCTTCCCGGCCTGGGGTAAGTAAAGTGGTGAAGCAGGTGAAAAGGGGAGCGTCAGACGCGCAAGCGTCGCTGAAATTGAGCATTGGGCGTGAAATGGCCTGCTTGCCAGTCCACGCGCACAGGCTGGAGTTCGCTCCCCGTTCCAACACTTCAGTGAGGGAGCTCGCTCGTGGGTGCGCTTGCCACGAGGTTTGCTTTGTTGATCATCTCGTGGCATAGCACCTGTTGGTCTTGCAAAGATCGGTGTTAGGGCTGCGTCCAATATGCTCCCCCGACTGTTTGTTTTCGACTTCCAACATTTTTTAACAGTTAAAATGGTGCTTTGGTGTAGCAAAATACCGTTGGTAAGGTTTGCGAACAAAACAGTTTTGCATGACAGCTTCCAGCTATAAAGAGCACCACATCCCATTGTTGAAACCGTGCGCGGAAAATTAACCTACACGTAGTCCAGAGGCTTTCACGGGTTACATTCACCTGATCCAATCCTCCCTCTGCTCATGGGGCAGTGACAATACCTACGTGCTAACCCTTATGAGTTGTTCCCACCTTTCATCCAGCCGTTGTTAATTTTTCCCGCTTGCACCCAAGCTTACTCTTATGGCGATGACTGCACAAGATGTGCAATTGAAGCTATTCTATCAATCACTCAAACAAGTGCGAGCAGTAACATTGTGAAACCTTTTTAAAATATCAGCCCTACGTTTCGTAGACGTCTTGCCCATACCCGAATTTTTACCAATACCAATCGTAATTTTCCGAACATATATGCCCAGCTCAATGCGCCGCGCAATCCGGCGGGATACCTGCGGACCTAGCCAGCCCGTTAGGGCTTCCAACAGCAGTCCATCTCACCTGCTGATAGAGGCTATCGCCTGTTGGCAGTTGTATTTCTCTGCCGAGGAGCCTTCACACCTAACGCCCACCAGACCAAAACCCTTTTCCGGCCGCCAGCCAGCAACACGCGACCAGGAGTGTCCCTGCCTCGATGTTACCCAGTAGCAGGCATAATGAAGCCTCAGAAATAAGTATAGTAGTAATATTGGCACAAAAACGGTGCAGTTGACGCGACCTCAAAACTAAAAAGTGATAACCTCAAAACTGACTAAGTGATCATAATAATTACATCACGCATAACGCATAATGACAACAACCATAAAGACAAACCGTCAAGCTACCTACGTAGGGGTAAAAGTAGCAAAATATTGCTGGGTATAAGACAAAAAAGTAGTAGTGGGCAAAAATACAGCATAACTGTCCGCTACTGTCCCTAAGTCAATACCTCACTCACCTCGATATTAGTGCACATCATGCAGCAACATATCATATAATATATTTCATGTAATGGCAAATCCATGCCGTCTGAGAAGAGACCTGTTCAGCGGCGCAGCAGCTCATGCAGTCCTGTTCAGGGGATCAGAGGTCATCGATCCGCGGTCCGGCCGCCCACCAGGCTCAGTAAGCTGGCTGCCAGCTTGGTCAGGCAAGCTGACATCTGCCTGTCAGCTAAGTCGATAAAGTCCGTGCAGCGATGGCTGGTGTTTCGGCGTGAGTACACATCGACCGCGAATGGTGACAAGACCTGCCGGGCTGGAGGACCGGAGGTCAGGGAGCTCAGACGTCCAGCGGTTTTCCCGGGCCTTGTTCTGGCGCCGTCACACGCACCATCGTACAATGGCGTACAACCTGTTTCACCACCAAGTTTGCTACTTGTATCAGTAGCTGCCAACCGCCTTCAACGGCATTTTGATGCCCAGGACAGGGTGCTTTGTCGTGTTCATTACTCGTTGTCTATACCTTTTGACTCATTCGGTTCGGCTGGTAGAGACGGATACGCGATGCACTTGAAGTAGAGACGGACACGCGATGCACTTGAAGTAGAGACGGATATGCGATGCACTTGAAGTAGAGACGGATATGCGATGCACTTGAAGTAGAGACGGATACGCGATGCACTTGAAGTAGAGACGGAAATGCGATGCACTTGAGGTAGAGACGGATATACGATGCACTTGAAGTAGAGACGGACACGCGATGCACTTGAAGTAGAGATGGATATGCGATGCACTTGAAGTAGAGACGGACACGTGATGCACTTGAAGTAGAGACGGACACGCGATGCACTTGAAGTAGAGACGGACACGCGATGCACTTGAAGTAGAGACGGACACGTGATGCACTTGAAGTAGAGACGGACACGCGATGCACTTGAAGTAGAGACGGACACGCGATGCACTTGAAATAGAGACGGATATGCGATGCACTTGCCGTAGAGACGGATATGTGATGCACTTGAAAGACCTGTCAATCATTTCGGAAACTTCTGCGTGTGAACAAAATATGTAATGATACTTGTGGACCCCAGGCGCATCAAATTTGGTGTCAAGGGAAGATTGGTCATTTTAGGGTTTTTTGGCGATGTTGGCTAGTGTTGGCTAAATATGTTACGCTCTGACACATTGTTTTGGAGCCTGTCCGAAAGTGAGGTCGGTTTGTCAAAAAGTCCACAAAACGGTGTCCGGATGGAAGTGAACATATGTTTATGCGTGCAAATATGGAAAATATCATTCATAGCGCATATATGTGTCACGCGAATTCTTTGCCAGGGACTAATTGACGTGGTTGCAGCACGCTGGTTGACTGCAATCAGCCTACAGTGTGCTCATAAACGACAACAGACCGTGCGAAACAGACCTCCCAGGACCGTGGGAAATGCGTTAACGTGTGGGCACCGCTCTTTCTTGATCTTAAGGCACTTGACACCTTTTTTGGAAGCTTGCTCTTCAGACGGCCTTTGTCCCTTCCAAGGCCCCATGCTGCGTCCGCCCCTGAGCGGGATCACTTCAGGCTGATCCAGGTATCAGTTGCCTGGATCGCTAGCCGCAACAATGGCTAGCAGCGTCTTCAGAGCCCCTATGGTGCAGAGGAAATTCTCGGTGTGATTTACACGGATTGTGGTGGGGTTCTGCGTAAAAACAGTCGGTGCATGCAGGCGATTTTTCATGTATTTTACCGAAATACTAAGAACGTAAGATCCATGGTTTCCGCAAATGCCCGCCAAACCATGTGTTTGCTTGTGTCAAACGTATGACGTTACACCATGCTGGCTGGAATTTTTCCTTTCACAAAACTGCTTATGATCGTGGAAAGTAAGACCTGGTCAGCTGGCCCATGGGTTTGATTCAGTTTTGTAATCTTGTCGCCTCCCACTGTTCCTTCCAGACGTTTTCCAAACTGTAAGTCAACCGAACCACCGGACGGGTTTTACCCTTGTCACAACGCCCGAGATGGTTTGATTCGATGAAAAGTACTTATTAGCTATTGCCCCTCGGTTTCGCGCAGACTCCTTACTAGGACGTCTAACATCTCCAGTTTAATCACACATCTCCTGTTTTTATGTTTATGTCCTCAACCCCGATGACGGCAGTATGGGTAGGTATAATGGAGCACCACCGACCAGAGCTAATGACGACGGGTTAGGTGTATTGGAGCGGCACCGACTACAGCTTGTTATGTCCTCAGCCGTGGTGACTACGATATGGCTCAGGTATTTTGGATGGAGGGTGAAGTTCCAACCGAGCTCGGACGTTGGAGTTCCAACCGAGCTCGGACGTTGGAGTTCCAGCCGAGCTCGGACGGTGGAGCCCCAGCCGAGCTCGGACGGTGGAGCCCCAGCTGAGCTCGGACAGTGGTGCCCCAACCGAGCTCGGACGGCGGAACCCCAGCTGAGCTCGGACGGTGGAGTCCCAGCTGAGCTCGGACAACGAAGTCCTTTCGCTCCGCGCGCGGTGCAGCGGGCGACGCCGTCCGGCACCTGCTCGTCCAGACGGTGTGGACACCGTCCGGTGCTGTGAGCGGACCGCGGCTCGATCTTGCGTCATTGCCGTGCAGCGGGAAGGAGTGGCCGCACCAGGTGTGCAGTCACGGCAGTCACGCCCCCGCGCCGCGGCCATTGTCGGCTCCTCGCGACGTCGGCCAGCGTCCACAGTCACGCCAGTCACACACGCACACGCCGGCACGGTATTATACGTCTCCTTGCAAAAGGCGTAGCTCGGTATGCCGGTGTTTACAGCAGATAATAAATACTCCATTTGGCCTTTATTTGGGGGGCTTCTGACGCTTCTTTTAATTAAGAGTTCAGTCGCTGTGTGTGGCAGGATGGAGACGAGACGCATGTCAGGCGAAATATCTTCCGTTCAGTTTATTTCCAAAGCACCAAAAGCTTACCAAACTTGCCAAAAGCTTACCAAACTCTTACCAAAAGCTCAGAGCGTGAAGTGTGCTTGATGGAATAACCATCGCTTGGATGCTTTAGGATTTGGAAAGCCGGACTTTAAAGCTGATCTTACGTGATATCTGCCACTCGTTGATGAAACCATGCAGCTACATGTGAGGTGTCACGAGGCCGTCATAACCGCCGTAAGCAGTAAGAAGTTTTGGGTAATAATGATTCGCGGACGTTGTTTGGTTTCATCGGCACTTGTCAAACGAATAATTTTTTATGACGCGTTCTTCGAAACTCATACGCGACGGGAAACGTCGCAACGATTAAAAGCGTTCATTTGGAAAGGAGCGACGTACCGCGGGCTCAGGGTATCTTGCACAGAGGTGGAGAGGATTACGCTGAAGTGATGTCTAGCGCCTATGCATCTCGGTCTTGATTTTAAGCTGCACAGGCATCCACACATTGGGAACATAGCGCATCATTTTGCTGAATTGTGTCTGAGTAATATGGAAGAAATCTCTTAGTGTTATGACTTTTCAGTGAACCACCCTATCATTCAGCACTGGTTTCGTGTGCAAAGCTGCTTTTTGTTGTCACAGCACGAATCACCCACATTGGCCCGCCGTGGGAACATTTTGCACAAAACGTGCGCAAGATATATGTCTTTACCGCAGTCAAATTTCACAATGCTGACGTTTACCGGCTTTCATTGGTCTCAAAAAAGCTGGGGGGGGGGGGGAGGGGACTAGCAGCCCACCCGCCGTGGGGTTGATGTCTAATTATCCAATCTTTCTACAAAAAAATATGTTGTAAACTCTGGTTCCAGTCGTCTCTCTTTATGATAATCGGCAGATGCGCGATGCGTACAAGACCCTTCAAATTCTCAGTTGACGCCACCGCCTCCTTGCCGGGCTGGTGGCATGTCTTTGATGTGGACACCGGGTTATCACCATCGCATGACGCGTGGACGACGCCTGCCTGGCCTAGAATTCAGGCCAAGTCACTTAGCACCAATCGTCTCACTCGTGTCGGCCGTATATTATCATTACACCGACCCTTCGTAGCCACATGATAATGCCCTCCTGGCTAAATTACGTCCCGGCTGGACGTTTGACTGCGTTTGATATTACACCCGCTCTCAGATGGAGCGACAACATGGCAAACTCGGGCAACGCTGAGCGGGTTTACTCCGCCGAAGGACGGTCGGCGGTTTGTGTATTACACCGGTCGGCGTTCGTAATGAGTGGGAAGAGATGGTTCGTCGCGTTAATGCCCCATCATCGTGCACTTGGCTGTCAGCACGCCTAGCAACACTGGGTGTAACCGACTAAGCGGCCCACGCTGCGCTGCCGGAGTTGCGCCGACGGTTTCTGTCACATGTCTAGAATGCTGCTGTTTGACTCAGGCACTGAACGATGCCTATGGACGTCGGCCGCAGTAATAATGACGCGTCGTGAAAAAAGTATTATCTTGCGTGGTGCAGTGTAAGTACTTTTTGTGTTCGCGCTTGGGTGAAAAATATTGAATGAACCATATTATTCAATAAACTCTGACATTTTTCTCAGCTCAAATGCAAAAATTGGTCAATTAGTTGTAGTGACGATGCAGGTATACGCACATGGGTGCCGAATGACGAGAAAAGTTGATGTGCCAAGGCCGTCGGAACGAGCACCTTTCAGTGGCAAAAGGATAAAATTAGGCACATTCCGCTCTAGTTGGTTTGCCCGGTGGCACCTCTGCTATGTTGCACCCTTCCTCCTCGCCGAAACACCGATATTTCACGCACAGCACTTGCACAAGGTAAAAATGAATGCATGCTTAGAGGGAGTGTTCCACACTTATATGGACTTTTAAACTTAAGTAGTCATCTTGAAGACCATTCGGTGTAGTTTACAGCCTGCCCTTCTTAAGACCTAAACGCTTCTAACTTCTGAGCTATTTGCACGCGAATATGTGAAAACTATTTCGGGGAGACTTATTCAAGATCACCCATCTGCCCATGAGTTATAATAACGTCATTCAAATCCTCCCAGTTTATTGGGCATGCGACGAACAAGGCCACGAAACATATATTTGCTAAGCCGTTCTTATCTGGCGCTCGTGAGCACGATTTCCAAATGAAATGGCCGTCAACTGGTTCTCAATTGATGTGATGCAAGGTACAATGGCGAAATCAAACAATGACGTATTCAGGAGCACGTTTATCAAACAAAAATTTGTGTCGTCTAGAGCAGCGTTTTCGAAAAAACTATGCCCGTTGGGCTCATTTCATTATATTTTATGCTTGCTTCAGTACTTTCATTTGTGAAGCAAAAGCTTTCTGAGCTGAATCTAACTGAATGAAACATGTGGAATAAATTTTTCGTAGCTGGCATATCTGTGATATTTTTGGTATTATGTAGCGAACCATAGGGTCAAACTGCTCAGCGACGGGGCTCTAGTCTATCTAAATCTAAGTCACCGGGCAACTGCAGTTACATTTAATGCGATGCATCTACATCATACTTTAATTTATGCTCTCTCCGCCCAATCCCAGCGCACTTACGCGTCTGTGCTGATAAATTAATAAAAAATCTGCCCGCATTTTCTCCCGATTTTTGCCTCCGAATGACAGTTTAGCATGGCGCACGTCTCGAATATTTGTTCACTCTCAAGCCTCGTCAAAGTACCGCAAACGAAACGTTGGTATACATTACATATAACTGAGCATACAGACCTTGAACAAGATTCGAGCATTTCACCGAGCATTTGAATTCTGTGAAGAAGATCGGTGTTGTAAACAAGACGTTGGTCGAGCTCGGGGACTACTGATCTAAGGGACTAAGTGGATGGAGCTGAGCATTCTGATGCAAACATTCGAATGTGTGACCAAAAATTTTCATCCGGTAGATATTGAAATACCGAAATCAGCATAAAGCGCTCATGACATGTCGAGTATTTATTGAAAAGTACAAAACAGTTACCAAGGTACTCAATGATGAGTTTTTGTTCTGCTAGGAATTTTGTATCATACTATTATCTAATTTTCTATTTAAATTAGATCTTCCCTGTAATCGTAGGAAAAAGATGGGGTGCTTAAGGCCTACTGAAGTCGCGTTCAAGTCCCAGAGAGAAGGCATTGTACCGCAATGCCAGTGCGCCATTAAAGAGTGTTTCACATTTCTATTGGGTTTTGAACTGAAGTAACCATCTTAAGGACCATCCGGTGCAGTTCACAACCCTGCCCTCCTTAAAACCTGAACCCTTCTAGTTTCTGAGCTACACGGCCGCTGATAAGTATAGACTATTTCAAGGTCACTAAGGCATCCATGACGTCATAATAACGTCATTGAAATCCTGCCAATTTATTCATATCTGGCTTTCGTGAGTACGACTTCCAGATATCACGGCCGCCCATTGGATCCCAATCAATGTTGAGCAAGGTATTGACGAGCTTATTTACTACACAGGGAAATTGTGTTGTCTAGAGCAGCATGCTCCACTTAAAAGGATACCAATAGTTTATAAGTGAGCTTATTTCATCATATCTGATGCCTACTTCGATATATTCAAATGCGGGATACTCCATTTAATGTCCGGGTTCCCTTGGTATGTTTGGCAGCAACACGTAGGAGCATTGCAGCGTTGAGATCAAAGGTCTTGCAGCATAAAATAGTTATTGAGATTTTGAATGAAATGCGGTAGGTTCCTGTCCACATAATGGGATTTTATACCTGTTTTGAGAAAATGACGGAGTTCATGTGCTCACCTTCAGCAATTCTATTTATATTTGACCCAGTATCTCTCAACCTGCAACACCACTGAAAAGTTGTCGACGCCTTGCTCGGTATGCATACATATGAAGCATCACATGTAAAAATTACCAGCAATCATGTAGAAAATTCGAATGTATGTTACCGCAGATTTGAGTGTCGAAATGAAACCGAATGTGCAGCGCTAGGATGTATAGAATGCTTAAAACTTTTCCATCTTATCCGAGGGAAAAATCCGGAACGCGACTAGAATTACGACGCACGCTTTTCTTTTAGACCGGAATGGTCACTCTAATGACCTTGGCACCTGGCACAAAGAGCTATTGACGCTTTGTGTTAGTCCATTACATTTAGCATGACGACGTTATCTTATCACACGTTGACAAATGCTCCGTTTATGTGTTGCTGATGGCTTGTTTCTCACTACAGCTGTTTGTGATTAGCTCACGCACTGTCTGTCCTTTGGCTTCAGTGCACCGCTCGTGGGAAAGAACACCGCGGAGCGTGAGCACCAGTGACGGCTGCTGGACAGGTGTCGAGTTCGCCAGTGACCTGCCCACCGACGCTGGCCGCTCCCGGGGGCCGGCGCTGACCAGAGGGGGCAGCTCGCCACGCGGCCGCCACCCCGGCCCCGGGACAGTTCAGCATGGCCATCTGCAGGACAGCGCTGCTGCCGCTACGGGTGATGCTCTTCTCATTCTACGGAGGTAAGGGACGGCGTGCCGGCGAGCCGGGCGCCCAGTCGGGCCTCATTCTACGAAGGTGAGGGACGGCGTGCCGGCAAGCCGGGCGCCCAATCGGGCCTTATTCTACGGAGGTGAGGGACGGCGTGCCGGCGAGCCGGGCGCCCAGTTAGGCCTCATTCTACGGAGGTGAGGGGCGGCGTGCCGGCGAGCCGGGCGCCCAGTTAGGCCTCATTCTACGGAGGTGAGGGGCGGCGTGCCGGCGAGCCGGGCGCCCAGTCGGGCCTCATTCTATGGAGGTGAGGGGCGGCGTGCCGGCGAGCCGGGGCGTCCAGTCGGGCCTTACTCTACGGAGGTGAGGGGCGGCGTGCCGGCGAGCCGGGGCGCCCAGTCGAGCCTCATCAGCTGACAGCCTCCGCTGTCAATAAGTCACCATCAACACAACGAGCTCCGATGGGAAAATTACCCGCCCTGAAACGCCGACGACGCAACCACAGCCATGTTACGCGCCACGCACACGCCGGCGCGTGCACGTAATACGGTCGTAGGCACACGCACGCTAGCATGAATGAAAGGGATGTCATTCGTCGGCACGCATACACACACGCACATTCCTCTATCAAGTCTCGAGTGCCTACGTATTTGCTATTCCACGTGGCCGGAAACCCAGTGTGCGATCAAACTCCCCAGTTGAATGGTTGTGTTGGTAGACCCCGGGGTGTTCTTGAAGCTTGTGCCCAGTTGAAATATCCGTGTTCAATTGAAGTCCGTCCCCATGACTCAGTGGGTGCCTTCCGAGCCACCCATGGCGGGTTAGGTTCGAGTCGCTTTAGGCTCTCGCTATTTGTGTTCACATATGTGGCTTATGGCGGGTGGCAGCGGCCGCACTAAAGGTGTGTGACGTCTGTGGGCAGGACGGACGTGTGCCGAGCATTGCGGCACCTTCAAATTTCGCCATCAAACTCTGCCATTGACCTGGAATTGCTCGATCGGGTGGTAGGGATCAGGGCTCGCACAACAAGCACTGCTTAACATGAGCTCTGGTACCAGAAATCCATCCATTCGAAAGGCTTGGATTAAATCTGAAAAGTCTCGGGTCTATTCAAATTTCCGCGTCATGCTATTAACTTCGGACAGATTTCCGAGTCTCACCCCGTGACCTCTGCCCCGCTCTGCCGCCACAAACTGCCTCCAACCTGACAGCGCGACCAGGCGCCCTTCGTGACCGTGCCTCCCGGCTGTGCCGGCAGGCATCAGCTGCGTGCTGCCGTTCGTCACGCTCCACATGTCGACGCTGGGCCTGACGGCCGACGAGCTGAGCTGGCTGCAGTTCGTGCTGCCGTTCGTCGGCTGCGCTGGCCCATTGCTGGGCGGCGCGCTGGCCGACCGCTGGGGCAACTACCGGCCACTGCTGGTGGCGTCGCTGCTGGTCTGCGCCGCCGCCTACCCCTGCCTGATGCTGGTGCCGGCCGTGCGGGAGCCGGCGTCGCGACCCAGCCCGACGCTCTCCTTCCACTGCAACGACGAGGGCAGCGCGGTGGCTAGCGAGTGGTGCGGCGCCGCCTGCCAGCCGGGCGACGATGTGCTCCGCGTCTACTACCTGGAGCGGTGCTCGTTCGAGTGCGATCCGGGGGTGACGCTGCCGTCCGGTCTGCCACACCTCTGCCTCGAGGCCGACAACAGCACCTTCTGCGAGGTAGTGGCCGACGTCGGCGACGGCCTGGTGGTGAACGCGTCGCTGCCGCGCGTCCTGCCGCGGCCCGAGCTGCGCCAGTGCTGGTATCCGCTGGTGGACCTGATGTCGCGCGGCGAGCGGTACCGTGGCCTCGCCTGCCGCAGCCCGCCCGGCTGCGGCGTGCGCTGCCAGCCGCGACAGCTCACCGCCCAGGACCTGCTCTTCACCGGAGAGCGGTGCGCGGAGGACCTCGGCGACCGACGGCTCACCTTCTGGCTGTACTTCGGCCTGCGCGCGCTGACCGAGCTGTGCCTGCCGCTGGCGCTGGTGTTGATCAACGCCACCGTGCTGCTGCTGCGCCGACGACACGACTCCGACTTCGGCTGGGAGTTCGTCTGGGGGCTGCTCGGTCTCATGACGTTTCGCGCCATTCTGCGGCTATCTGATCGACGTACACGGAAAGCTCTTCCACTACCTGGACTTCCGGCCCAGCTTTTACGTCTTCTGCGCGCTGATGTTGATCTGCGTGATTCTTGCGTCAGTGTTGCCAGTGCAGCCGCCGCCGACGCCGGGCGGCCGCTCCTACTCACGCCTGCTCGCCAAGAGTCTCGGCAACTTGGAGTTCTTCAGCGTGCTGTGCGTGCTGCTGCTGCTCGGCTCGCTCTGGGGCTTTCTCGAGGCGTTCCTGTACGCCCACCTACAGAGCCTGGGCGGCACCCAACTGCAGAACGGCCTGAGCCTGGTGGCCGGCGCCCTGCTGCTGGTGCCCTTCCTGCTGAAGGCCGAGCCGCTCATAAACTACTGCGGACACCACCACATTTTCATCATCGCCTTCATCCTCTACATCGTCCGCTACGTCAGTGAGTACTTCCGTCGTGTGACTCCTGAGCCCGCTCTCAGCCCATCGGCTGCTCCGCCTCCCCCACCCGTTTATGGAATGCGGTTGTGTTGGGCGTGGTGCTTACACGACTGTGCTGCTCTCTGTGTGGCACGCCCACGCTCAGTTAACGAGCTTTGGATCTGAGCCCGGTGGTATTCCGCCTACCCACAAGCAACTGGCTGGGGAAAGTGCATACTTCCAGCGCGTCCTACAAATCTGTTCAACTTGTCTAAGCGCCTTTCGGCACGACAATGATTGATGTCCTTTTTTGTGCTCTTTTGTATGCCCCTTGCCTAACTGTGAATGCGATCCAATTAGAGATGCATCGCGTCGGACAGACAGCATGGGCACAGATGAGTTAAGTGCATGAAACCCTTCCTTCAATCTCGGCAAAGCAACACGACAGACGCCCAGGTCGCCTGCAGTTAGCTGGTGCATTGCTCCCTGTACGGCAGTCATTTTCACTGACCTGCACACCTATGTCAGAAACCAGGCAAGTGCGCATTCTGCAGTAGCGTTTCATTTGCCCACGCTTGTCAGCGCACCCGGGACAAGGCGTCATTTGCATAGTTCGGCTGACGATAAGCCCGGGGCGTGGAGGCGCTGTCACCGCCGGCCCGTTCCGCATGGTCGCCGGCTCATTCCATGCTGTAGAGCCAGGCTATTGTGACCCGCTAGAGCACGCACAGCCCGCAAATCATGGCTCATTAGGAGGGAAGGAGGATTATATATTGGTAGCGCTGTGTAGATTGCTAACGTGACGCCTTCGCCCGCGTGTCGTATCGACAGACTGGGCTCGACATCCGACCACGCAGAGTGTGTACTTTTAGCGCCGACTAAGGTAGCTGTCCGGGGTTACACACGACCCAGTAATTGTGAAAGTCGCCGGCGTCGTGGAGGCTCTCGGATCGCCGAGCACGTGCATTGACGAAAAACGACAATATCCACGAAACCGATCGTTAGAGGAGAGGATCAGCCATGAATCCTAGAGCCCAGCAACACAACCCGGTGGTCACACGGGGCACAAGGACTTTTGTCACCGGAACTCGGGACCATGGAAAGTGAAGCTAGCTAGCACTGGGGCCATGGAAGGTAAAACCCGCAACTCGGCGAATCAGGGAGCGTGACGTCCACTGACATAGGTCAAGGTCACACTTGACCGGGAAGTCGATGGAAGGGGCTGAAAATGTGCTATCAGATTCAGTGGTAAAGTGACGAGGAAACGAGAAAAACTGACCGGTGCAATGACATTTATAGGAAGACGTGCCAATGAAAGCAGACCGGACTAATGACCAAAGCACAGCGATTAGACTGAACTGGAGAACAGTGCCCTACTGCATAAACAGGCGTGAACAAGGCATATAGCCTCTACTGAGGGCACACAATATCAGGGAGCAGAAACTCCCCTGGGAGTGAACGGGGCCGGAAGATAGGGACTTCAGTGGGAAAGGACGGAATGGGGAACAGCGTGTCAGTCGGAGGTAGTGAGATCAGGGAACGGGAATTTGGCCGTAAATAGACAGTATCAGGTATTAGAAACTCCGCTAAAACAGGTGGGTCCTTGAAAGATGGACTTCACTGATAGACGGGACAATGATGGGACAGCACGTCCCAGGCTGGGACAGTGTGCCTATTGAGGTGGGACAGGACCAAGGAACAGTGCCTTTATTAGGAGCGGATGGTCCCAATAAAGGCTGTATCGCCGGTATGAGAAAGCAGGGCTAGGAAACGTCGGCTTCATAAGTAGCAGATACACTAGGGTGGTTTCTCATTATAGCCTGACATGGGACTCTGGAGCAGGTGTGCGGAATCGTAGAACAATAACTCAAGCGCAAAATGTACGACAGCCTAAAACTGCCGCGTTGTAATGCTCCTAAAAGCATAACACTTGTGTGCATAGATATACAGGCGGTGTAAGGTTAACACTTTTCATCTCCGTTTCAAAAATCTTAGCTTTAAGTGCGGGACTGTGCTTCACCCAGTAAACCTGAGGGATTGCTTTAAACCGCCTACTATCTACTTCGCAGCTGACCGGGTACCATCTTCCGTCGACCAATCACAAGGTGTCAATCAGCAGCAGAGCAGCGCACAGTAGACTGTCTGAAGCAGGGCATCGAGCATCTTCACATGAACCTGACACCATGTTCTAGTCGTCAGTATTCTTGAGCACAGATACCATGATTGCGGTCACCTTAGGATGGTCAATGACAGCTGGACTGTGCGCAATATGTAAGAGTTTTGGGACGACGGAAAACAAATTTTCCTTGCCACATTTCCACCATTCTGTAATCACACAGCAAGGAACCCCCCCCCCCCCCCCCAGCTGCGTATTGAGATTTTACTTAACGTGCGCAAATTCTAACGTTTAAGGGCTAGAGAGATGGGATATTTACTTTTGAGTAAATTGGATAAAACAAAGCTGACAAAGTAAAATTCAATGTCTTATAGTCACCACTAATGTCGACCAGCTGCACAATGTCTTACTCCAAACTTACTCCAAACTACGTGGTCAAGCCTAATTGTCGCGCATCCGCGTTCTACCTCCCCATGACGAACAACCTAATTTTCTGCGGCGAGTTTATCAGAAAGATAGATAAGCTAGAGCATAACCAACCAACGTCCTGCTACCACAATCTCTCTTACCAAAGCAACAGAGGAAACGAGCGAGCCGTGCCTACATATCCCTCGTGGGTATGGCACGGGTCGCGTGTTCAGTACCAGATGCCAGTCCTGACTCAGCGCCGACCGTACTCCCTCGCCATTGTTCCTTGTAAGCAAGCAGTGCTGCTAAACGGCGCTGTAAGGAGAGTTGCCTGACTGCACGCCGCTGTTTGTTTGTCCTGGTAGGCGTGCTGTTGGGCCGCCGTGTTCAGGCCATGCGTCCAGAGGCTCATCTGGCAGCAGGACTGTGTGCCTGGGGTGTGCAACTGCGCCATGTCGCACAGCGTGTGACCTAGATGTGCAACTGCGCCACGTCGCGCAGCGTGTGACCGAGGTGTGCAGCTGCACCATGTCACACATCAAACAGTAAAACAGTCCCAGCAAACAGTCTCAGCAAACAAACTCCGGCGATTCGTTTTCGCTTTATTTTCTCACGTCGGTGAGGCCGTCACAGGCATTCAAATGAGCCTGCTGTGATTATTCAATTGGCGAACGCCTTGGCGCTGCCGTTTGTGCATACAGACCGAACGCCGTCCTGCTCAGTCCGTCTGTGGTCCTACCCAGCCGGTATGGGCCCGTCCGCGGTCCTGCCCAGCCGGTATAAGTCCGTCCGTGGTCCTGCCTAGCTGGTATAAGTCTGTCCGTGGTCCTGCCCAGTCGGCATAAGTCCGTCCGTGGTCCTGTCCAGCCGGTATAGGTCCGTCGGTGGTCCTGCCCAGTCGGCATAAGTCCATCCGTGGTCATGCCTAGTCGGTATATGTCCGTCGATGGTCCTGCCCAGCCGGCATAAGTCCGCTTGTGGTCCTTCCCAGCTGGTGAAGTCCGACTGAGCGTCGGTAAGCGAAAGATCGCCGACGCGCGGCCCCGCTCGGCGCGTGATGGAGTACGGCTTCTCAGACATGGATGCTGGGTCCGTTCCAAGCCTTGAGTGTTTATCAGGAAGCGCATGGTTATGTGAAGTATGTAGTGTTCGTGTTCACACCACTGTTCGAGGACTGACGCTCCCTGGACGGCCGCCATCAGGCCGCACGACCGCCGTCGTCCCAGAATAGCAAGCTGAGCAACTCACCAACAACAGTCTTTGTGCCATAGGCGACGCATAAGCCGCACACAAACGTTTTGATGCCAGACGTGGCTTCGAGAGTGTTTTCCGCGGTGATCAAGTTCTTGTGTTGAGGTTCCTCGTGCGGTCTTAGTGGGATGTGCGTAGCAAAAGAGTGCAGCTATCATTACAGCGACGTATCAAAGCATAGGCTTTGACCCGCCAACAATTCGCGCTTGGCTGAAATGGGTAAAAAGTTACGACATACGCTCCTGATCATTTGGTATCTCTTCTTTTTCTTCTTTTGACTGCAGCTTTTTTCTTTACCTTGTAATAATTCCACAAGGCTCAGCCATGGGGCAACCAAGCTTTCAAGACACTTCCAGTACCGCAGTGCAGGTGCAGGTGGCACAGGGGCACGCGCCTCTACCCCATTAGGTTCTGAGGACCGCTTCGAGGAGCCCGAAGGTCGGAATTTACGCCTAAGGGCCCGATTTGATGGCCCGAAGAGCCTGAAAGGCCGGAGGTCGCATGCAGGGTCAGGGTTCGAGGAGGCCCAGAAAGCCTAGAGAGCCCACTGAATCCGACAACCAGGTGCCCGATTCTAAGGGTCTAGGGACACGAAGGGCTGGGCCAGGTGCGCTGGTCTCTTGGTCTTATCCAAGGGCACGGACTGCGGGGACGGGCCCTCAAATAACAGTCAGAGGGCCTTTACGCCGATCGGGGACCCCTGAGTCTAACTGGTCCTATGTGTCGGTCGGGCACCACCATCCAACGTTTCCAATTAATATGTATAGCGAACAGCGTGCCCTTGCCGCAATGCCGTAGGTAGTAGTCGACACGTACCTAGAGTGCTCGTACGCACCACTTAAAGGGAATGCTTCACATCTGAAGATATTGAAACAGCATCAAATGTGATGAAGCAAGCTCACTTATAGCTGCTGATATGTTTCTTAGTGGAAAAGACTGCTCCAGACAGCACGATTCACTGTTTAACAAATATGCTTCTCAATACGTCACGGTTTGATAACGTCGTCGTACCTTGCACGACGTTGATTGAGAGCCAATTGACGGCCGTTATACCTGGAAATGGCGCTCACGAATGCCAGATGTGAATGTCTCGTCAATTACGCTTTTTCTCGACCTTAGTCACCAGATGGATTATGGAATAGCGGGATTTGAATGACTTTATCATGACGTCATGAACGTCAATGAATGCCACAGATGACCTTGCCTCTGAAATGCCACAGAGGCTTTGGAATGCTCACTCAGGCATATACCTTTCCTCATTTTCGCGGGGATGTAGCTCAGAAACTAGAGGGGATTAGGTTTCAAGAGCGGCAATTCGGGAACAGCACCGAAAGGTGTTCAAGCAGGCTAGTTCAGTTTAAAAGCGCATATAAATGTGAAATACTCCTTTTAAGACTCGCCCGGGCGCGTCTCGCGTCCGGCTCGAGCGCGTCCATGCCCTCGCGCTGGGCACGCTCATCCCACGCGCCCGTTCCCCGCGCCCATTCCTCGGTGGAGTCATTCCCCTGTGGAAGCATTCCCCGAATTTTGGTCCGATTACGAATAGGACACATTACACTCACACATTGTTACACATACTTACGTCAGTCTCTCCCCTCTCCCATCCCCCAGTGTCAGCCGGGCGATCATCCACTTTCGTTAAAGCATATTATCATTGGGTGTACTAAATTTCAGCAGCGCCGCAAACATATATAGACCTACTGGCGTAGGCTTATAAGGACAAAACGCCTCAAACAAATAAAGTGCAAAATGGAAAGTCGTTTTAGTTTGTGTGAGTTATTAAAACTTTTTGCCTGTACAGGGTAACATGACCTACCTGATATGGGCATAGAACGGGCATCTCCCCGGGCCGGGCGCCCGTGTCCCCTCCCCGCTCGTCAGGGGTCCTCTCTAGTGGCGATCTTCCTCCCGTGGGGATCCTCCGGGGCTCACGGGAAGGAGAGCGGGGACTTTGGGGAGAAGCAAGGACTTTACGAACAGGGAGGGGGGGGGGGGGCACGAACGGCAGCCGGAAGACGCCCCGTGGTGGGACAGACTGACCTTCAGCCCTCTCCCGGGAACAATAAGGTGCCCACTAGTGTAGTGTAACGTACACAAGGGGTCCCTTTCGCAGAAAAAAGTAATGGGGCTCATTAGTGTTGAATACAGTGGGTCGAAATCAGTGGAAAAAACGAATCAGGCTATCGCGTGTTTGCTTAAGACCGTTTCTTCTTTTGCAGAATCAACTGGTGAAACAAATTACATAAAAGGTTTTAGCATGCGTACCAGCAGATTCAGCACCTCGAGGGCATGCGCAGCAATGACCTGGGTTGTAGCTTCCGCAGAACCGAACGGCGTTGGCCACTGCAAGTAATGCCAGATGGTGGGTGCTGTGCGTGTAAGACCGACCGTCGTAAAAATGGTTTCGAATGCCTTTTAAAATTCATAGGAGTCATTCAAAGATGAGGCCGGGTGCATCTTTTCTACTGCTTTGAGATTGTCCTTGGGACAGATAAACAGTTAAAACAACACGAAGAAGAGAGAACTATTACTATGTTTCAGATTTTCGGTTCAATTCTACTTTGCGCTGCCGTAATGGCCAATCCGTTCTCATCATCAATCTGAAAATTCCACGGGTGAAATACATCCCCGGAATACCTCCGAAATGTGCAATTTGATAACATTACAAAGTAATCCTACACATTCCTTCGAATGCATTTTCACTTTCGTTCTTCCGTTGACCACGGCTCAGTGTCAGCCGAGGGACCAACGCTGCGCGGCCTATGGAGACTACAATGTCTGACATCGAGTGTTTGCTTGCCAAGATTTGCAAGCGAGCAACTACGTTACATAAGTTGCATCATGTATCAATTCTGACTGAATGCTGAGCATTTACAGACAAACATGGCTTGGCAGCGTTGGTGTAAAATTTTTTATTGGTTTTGATCTACATTCGCAGGGGTCATATCTCTGTACAGCCCATGTAAACCAATTTGAAAGAGGCTTCTTAGTTCTATCGGTTTAGAAAGAGTCAACTGGATCATTGCAAAATGAACAGTGCCAGTGATTTATTTCATGCAGTCGTTTAATGCATGTTTATTAATTATGAATTCAGGCAGAGTTGATCTTGCCGTAGCTTCTGGCTTCTATTCTAGTTATAGAAGGTAAAAATGAAAATATGAGAGGCAGAGTTCCTTCATTAACAACTAGGCCATGTTCGGCTAGTTTTTAGTGTGTGTGGGGGGGGGGGGGTGCTGTGCAAGTAAGAACAACCGTTGTAAAATGGTTTTGAATGTATTCTAAAATTGATTTGTGCCCTTTAAAGATAAGGCTGGGCGCATCTTCTCTACAACTTTGAAGCTCTTACCATCAGGGGCCCTTTATCAAGCCTGAGTCCCTCTCCCCTCACCAAGGCTCTGGCCGCGCGTCTGTTCCAGCGTGTTAATGTTTTATCCCATGTGCCTTATTTTACTGTTGGAGGCAAAACGTCGTTGGCAATATTGAATTTGGTCTAGGTTTCAGCTACCAGGAAGTTCGATTCGTTTTATTTCTTCCTTTTGAAATTTGTTGCGGCTAGAAAACCACCTTTTTAGAATCTTGCTGTTCTGCTTGCTCTAGCGTATCCAGAAGTTCTTCGGTAGATCGCCCATGTTTTGCCTCCTTTTGTGGAGAGGAGTCAGGGCATAAAATCACAGCCAGTGATCGAGTCACCAACAGACGTCACTCGATCACGTCAACAGCACGCCGTTTTCTGGCGCACGCGAGCCGTTTTTGTCCCAGGACCCCGGACGGCCTAATAGAGTTACAGTGCGACTTTTTGCCAACACAAGATTGATGCTGGTGTAGGACGGCACGGCTCGGGTGCGGCTGAGGGTGTCGTGTGTCGGTGAAGGCCTCGAGACCTCGGAGTCCTGCAGCATTGTCCAGTGTCACCCCTACCACAAACACATGCCCAGGATTACTAACGAGAGGGGGACGTGCCACATGCAGCTGAAGCAGAAAAAAACGGATCGGGGTCGGGAGGCGTGGAAATAACGAATGACGAGCGGAATGTGTGCCACCGGAGATGACCAATTTGGACGCGAATAACATATTACGGTCAATTTGGGAAGTGATTCACAAGACACGGCCACTCGGACCGTAATTTCACGACCGTTATAGCATCATTGCCGTGACCACGCCGTACGTTCGGTGTCAGGACCATGACCACACTCATAGCATGACAGGCTCAAAAAAGCATTCACCGTCATTATTACGTGATTGCGACTTTAGCGGGCGTCTCACCTTTAGAGGAATGTTTCAAAACATACCCTAGTGAAGCATTATGACACCTTATGGCTATAACAATAAAGACACGCCTAATGATCGCGCTGAGTAGTGCCACTGCAGGACAGTCGAGACATAATAGGGCGATCAATTTTCACGATTGATGAGTCCAAATTACACTGTCAACGCCTTGTAACGGCGCTACGTTTCTTCCCTGCGGTCGCAACTGCTGCCGTCATGCCAGCCACCGTGAGCACTGGTGCGAATAAAAGACTTTCTGATTGGCCCAGCGGGTAAGACCATGTTACCGATTAGTTGGTTGGTTGCAGATTAAGCCAGTGCGCGACATGGATATGTGATACTTACGTTCCCGAAGCCGAAGTGCGCATCGAAAACAGCGACTGTGGTGGGCGCCACAGAGATTAAAGTCGTAGCATAATGTTTCGTTGAATTCGCGGGGGTAAAAGTCTCATCTTCGCATATCTTTTTGTCTTAGAAGGATGCATTTTTTTCGCAGCATTTATTGCACAAACACTGACACATGAGTGTTTTGTAAACATCACTGAATACACACACTGGGAAAAGTAACGCGGATGGGATGTGTTGCTTGGACTGTAGTGAGCAGGAAGTCAACAAAGATTTTTCCCGCAGGGTCGGCAACTTCAAATTGCCACTATGGGCTATCTAGACGGTTTCGAGAAAATCGGTATCACTGATCAAAGCATACGCGTCTGATGTAACAATAAGTAAAAAGCGAAAAAGGTGGGATAATGGAATCATGACTTCAAATGATGGAAACAAATCGAGGCAATGAAATGAGGCGAAGGGTTTGTGCAATGAACGAACGCTTATGACGGAGCGAGCGCTCCCAGCGAGCAGGGCAGCTGCATTACTGAATCTTTAAAATGCCACATATCTATATGCACTTCACATGAATCGCGCCTGGCACAGCATAGCAAATCGTGTGCACAAAGAAAAGGGTTTGCAAAACAGTCCCGTTACGCAAGCAAATGCAGATAGCCTTGGTGAAGTAATCTGATTACCCAACTGAAAAATATTTTATCTTAGAACGTCTTTTTATGTCATTACTTTATCATATCGCAGGTGCGTGGCTCAACTTCCTGCAATATCGGCCCTCCTACCAGCGTAGGCGACGCCATATGACCTTAATTGCGGAGTGATTCACAAATCCCCAATGACATCCAAGAACCATGAAATATTCACATGCAATACATATACTTCAAACCTTGAGGTACATACGTTTTGGGGAATGAATATCACTCCAGGGTATGTTGCTGCTTTACAGCTGTATCTAGCAGCGGACACCATTTTCCCCTCTTGCCATTGCAAGAATCGTGTTCGAACCTCCCGTGGCGGCAGTCGGAAGACCATGTTTGGTGCATGAAGGCTTAGGCTGCTTGGCTGGCTGCCAGCAACGGCGGACTTGTGCAGCTGAGGCCGTTTGGTTACGGGATCAATCTCTCGGGGCTCTCCGTAGACGAACGTCGAGTCACGTGTGCACGCCAGGCGGACATCGAATCACGTGTGCACCGTGCACCGGCCGTGCAGCCGCGCTGGAGCTGACCCTGGCTGGCTTGCACTGCACCGCGGCGCAGGCCTGCGTCGCAGTCCTGTGACCTTGACCTTGGCTGGCCTGCACCGTGGCGCGGTCCTGTGACCGTGTCATCGCGCCGCCGGCGGTGGTCCCACATACGGCGCACTGCGTCTGTCACAGCGGTGTGATATATCTTCTGCTGCATGCTTGTCCCAACTGTTGCACCACAGCCCTAGCACAGCCATCGCACCCCTAGCATGCATGTGAACCTGTACCAACGTGCGTCCCGGTTGTCATGTCGTGTGCATTTCACACATCAGTGTAAGCTGACCAATGTGAGCAGGAGGTCAGTGTGCGTGCAGGGCTCCGGCGGCCGTGAGCGACGACCCTTACACGGTACGCGTGTGCGTGCTTCAGGCTACGCCTACATCATCGCGCCGTGGCTGGCGCTGGTGGCGGAGTCGCTGGAGATGTTCACACTGCACCTGGCCTGGATGGCGGCCGTCCTCTTCACCTCCGGCCAGAGCTCGCCCGCCATCGAGGCCACCACACAAGCCGTCATCACCGTCTGCCACTACGGCATAGGTCAGTGGATGGGGGATATCCCTGGAGGACGACAGACGGTCACCAACGTCTGCAACTGCAACATATGTCAGTGACGAGGGATGGCGCTGGAGGACGACAGACGGTCATCACCGTCTGCCACTAAGGCATAGGTCAGTGAATGGGGATGTCGCTAGAAGACAGCCACAGACGGTAACTAACGTCTGCCAATGCGGCATGGGACAGTGGATGGGGAAAGCCATGCAGTGGCGAAGTAGCTCCGTCGGGACCGGGCCCGGATTCCAAGCTGAAGGCCCGGGATCGAGTCCCGGCCGACGCCTTAGCTTCTGGCCTCTGGGAACAAAAGCCGGAGGGGTCGCAGTGGCCTCTGGTGATACCCGGCTGCTGGTAGGCGGCTGCGCTCCGACCTGCTGGTAAACGGCTCCGCTCCGACCTGCTGGTTAGCGGCTCGGCTTCGACCTGATGGTAAGCGGCTCCGTTCCGACCTGCCGGTAAACGTCTCCGTTCCGACCTGCTGGTAAGCAGTTCCGCTCCGACCTGCTGGTAAGCGGCTCCGCTTTGACCTGCTGGTAGGCGGCTCCGCTTCGGCCTGCTGGTAAGCGGCTCGGCTCCGACCTGCTGGTTAGCAGTTCCGCTCAAACCTGTTGGTAAGTGGCTTCGCTCCGACCGGCTGGTAAGCGGCTCCACTCCGACCTGCTGGTAAGCGGCTCTGCTATGACCTGCTGGTAGGCGGCTCCGCTTTGACCTGCTGGTAGGCGGATCCGCTCCTACCTGCTAGTAAGCAGCTCGGCTCCGACCTGCTGGTAAGCGGATCCGCTCTGACCTGCTGGTAAGCGGCTCCGCTCCGACCTGCTGGTAAGCAATTCCGCTCAAGCCTGCCGGTAAGTGGCTCCGCTTCGACCTACTGGTAAGCGGCTCTGCTCCGACCTGCTGGTAAGCGGCTCGGCTCCGACCTGCTGGTAAGCAGGTCCGCTCCAACCTGCTGATAAGTGGCTCCGCCTCGACCTGCTGGTAAGCGACTCCGTCCCGACCTGCTGATAACGGGGGCAGGTCGAACATCGGTTTAAGGCAACGTCAAAACTATATGAACCGGCTTCACTAACGAAAAGGCCCACGGAGGCTCATAGCTCCGCTGCTAGCATACGCGCGCACTTAAGTCTCGCCGACAACTCGAACTTCACGAAATTTTCCACCCAAGAGGTCACCAGTTGCTGAACACGCATGTTTATGGGACATGCGGATATGGTGCATGGATTCATGCCTCGTTTTGATGACCAGTGAGTGTTGGCCACCATTAGAGCACGCCGATAGCTTTTGTCCCTTTCATTGGCAAGTAATGGCAATTTGGGTTGCCAACTTACTGCTGATGTCTCCTTCTTGTCATCGCATTCGTCGTGTAGATCGTATAGCAAACGCTGGCTTTAGGCTTTATATAATTTTGGCCCCAACATGACTCCGGGAGTAAGTCTTCCAAATGGAAGGTTCACTTCTGAAATCTGTTCGAGTCACATCCTCACGGCGACAACAGCTACATGGTCATGGTCACAAAAGCCATCAGCTGGGGATCATATGCGATCAGTGGTGGGGAAACAGAAGCTGTGAGCTCATAACAGCCCACATACAGCGGTCATATTATTTTCGTTTTGTTTGCTTTCCACATAAGGTGTCGGAATGCCGAGGCTGCCCTCCGTGGTTTATATTTGAGCCGATTCGTCATAATCTGCAACCAATTCGGATGATATAGATTCGAAATGCATCAGCGTTCGAGGTGCTATTTTCTTTCCACCTTGACACAAAACAGATGAGACAGACATCGACGCCGTCTGTCGGGAATGTAGCACGGCTCTAGAGACTCTAATGCATATCACCGCCTATCAAACTCTGCCTACAGAATTTAACGGTCTGAGCTATTTTTTGCCTTTATGACATCGACTCATTGTCTGTATACATGTTACCCAAACCCCACGCATAACTTCCTACATTTTACCAAATTTGGGCTGTGAGGCGCAGCACACAACCGTGCTGCGCCACAACTGCCGAGGTTTCTGCCCCCAGTTACGTGGCGCCGCCCGGCTTTGCTGTGGCGGGCTCGTCGCTACGGGGCAGCTCAGCTCCCGAAGCTGCCTTGATCGCGGCCGCCGACCCAGCACGGCCATAAGCAGGGCCATAACGGTACTCGGTCGGGGCAGATCCGGCAAGCCAGTCGGCACCGGCTGGACGGCTCGGATCGCCCGCTCTCTGTCCGCGAGACGGCGGCCCTTCGCCCCGGAGGGTGTCAGGCCATTGGATCAGCTGGCCTGCCTGTCATGTCTCAGTCCTTCGCTGTTCAGCCAATGTGATTGCTCTGTCTTGTGAGATCATTTCTTCTTTAAGTCATCAAGATGGAACGCATGTGCATTATGTGCACATGCATGGATATGCATACGCTATGTTACCAGCGCGTACCAGTGCGTATGCTCACCGGTGCATGCTGTTGTTTTGGCGTTCTACGTTAGGACCACAGCACGCGAATTGTGAAATTGCGGAACGTACATATTTCCTGAAATCGTCACGGGTAATCGTTGTCGGGCCAACCGTCCTACGCCAGAATCTATCACGCTAGAAAGAGATGACCATGAGCTCGAAATATGTAGCAGCGCTCTCTCAATCGAAGGTGAAAAACTTACGTTTACTCCTGACGTTCTTCTGGTTCAGCTGCTTTATTAGGCGATAATACTCAGCGGTTGAGTTAACCATAATGATGCGAAGGTTTACGATAAGTGAAATTTAAAACCTACGAAAAATCTAACAAATTAAAGAGCTCCATGACCGCATGTAAAACTGTGCTGTGCAAGTGAAGGCGAACACCACAAGATAAACAGACGCCTGTGCTGAAAAAGATGAAAACTGTCTTAAAAAAATGCTTCAAATTTGGTGATATTAAAGTAATCATCACACATAATGAAATAAGTTCACTTAAAATTTTAGGTGTATTTTAAGCGGAAAAGAATGCTCTTAAGCGAAAAAGAGTGCGACAAAACAATTGCTTAGCTAAGTACATATGGTCCTGGAAGCGTAATTGTATGATTACGTCATCGTACCTTGCACAAAACTGAAGAAGAGCCAATTGGCGGCTATATCTGGAAATCATATGCACGAACGTCAGATGTGAATGACTCGATCATTGCATTTTTATTGGCCTTGATCGCCGCATGGCTTATGGAATGACAGAATTTGAATGACGTTGTTATCATGTTATGTATGCCGTGGTGGCCTAAAATACTCTCCCCGAAATAGTCTTCCCATCTTCGTGGAGATGTAGCTCAGATGCTAAGGGGGTCTATGTCTTAATATCAGGGCTGATAACTACACTGAATGATTTTCAAGATGGCTATTTCAGGCCAAAACCCCATACAGATGTACATAGAACACCCCTTTAACACTATGGGACACGACCCCATAGCAACCCGACAAGCGACTGGTGCTGCTCGCTTGATGCAAACTCAAGGCTTTGGCCGGTATATTAACAATGGCACATTTGCACCATTGCCGTGACGGCCGTTTCCTGCGGTTCCGTAAAATGCCCCCTGGTTTTTTACCTCTACCTATTGTGACACAAGGCTTTAAAGGGATCGCTGCTTTTGTGTGATATACATCAATTCTATGTGTACCTGGATCCTCAAGTAAACTGGTGCTATATTTATCCTCCGTATCCAGCGTATTATCGCATAGGTATAGGTTCGTTTTCGTGCTGGTAATGCCTCCCATTACTTCAATGCAACAAACTCGCGTACGTCATTTTGCAAGTACATATCTGATGCAAATCATGCACCTTCTCGCACATACAGCTGAGTTACATTGTTCGGTTATGTTTGGCATAGGTGGCAAAAGCACGTTATACTGTTTATTTCTCACATAGCCTACATTATTTTTGCATGTGCATGCATGCACATGACATCCGCGGAAATGTACACGGTTTCCAAGATTTCTTCACGGGAAGCGGCTCCTGGCTTCTAGTTTTGGAAGATGAAAGAGCTGGGGGAATAATTTGACATCAAGTAGGATGCGAGAAAATTAGCACGGCACGTACTTGTGCTTCTTTGATGACTTCATATGACAGGCTCACCATCATTCCCGCGCATTGTTCTTACCGTAGGTGCAGAGGTGCCCACGAAACCCTCTAAAGGTCAACATGTGCCTCGATGTGAGTGCACTCATCTTTATGGTGCACGATAAAAACAACTGCGCGGTCGTGTGGGCGCCTGTGGTGGTGAAACGTCCGCCAAACATCCTTGTTACCGGGATCGCAAACCGCCCACTTCCCAGCTCCGACAAACATTCCCTCTGCCGAGCTCGGAGTGCATGATTGTGTGTTTTGCTCTGGGTGTCAATCACCGGTGGCGACCCTGACTGCTGTGGGCTCGAGTTGGGCACGTCATCTGGCGCACCAACGGCATTATCCTGATGATCCGGTTTCTGCTCGTCCGCGGTGTGGTACCGCTTGGCGCCGTCTGTTCTGGCGTCGCTGACCTGACCCACCAGACCAGACCATCCGGTCTGGTGTCGTTGATCTGGTACCTGGCCGAACCTTTTCAACACAGGTCCCCGCATTGTGTGCGGACGGGTGATGCCCGCTGTGCTCACCCGGCTCGTGTGGCCTCAAGTCCGGTCCCGGGGCTGGGGCGGTACGGTACCTGCTGATCTGACCCGTGTGACTTCAAGTTGCGGTCCCGGGCCAGGGCGGTACGGTACCTGCTGATCTGACCCGTGTGACCTTAGGCCGCGGTCTGGTGCTGGCGTGGTGCAGTACTCGCTGATCCGACCCGCGTGACCTTGGTCGCGGTCTGGGGCTGGCGTGGTGAAGCACCCGCTGATCTGACCCGTGTGACCTCAGGTCGCGGTTTGGGGGCCGGCGTGGTGCGGTACCTGCTGCCGCTGACCTCCGGGTTCCTGCTGCTCTGCGCCGGCTCAGTGCTGGCGGCCGCCTCCTCTGTGCTCTACATGCTCATCTACTACTGCTGCCGAACGCTGCCGCCCCGCCGGCACAGCTATGGAAGACACAAGCGGGAGATGTACAGCAGTAGCGGTGAGTGGCGCCACGTGCCGGCCGAGCCCACCTGATGCTCACGTCGGGTCCTGGACCCGATCCGGGAGACGCGGGAGCTCCCGGGGCTGCACAGCGAGGCGTCAGTGGTCCAAAAGTTGGAGGGCGAGGGAGGAAAGCGGTATAAAACATTGAAGGTCACTTTGATTTGGAGCTCTAATTCTTTCCGCAGCTTGCTAAGCATGATCAACTTTTAAGATGTCAAACCTTATGAGTGGGGTCTGGGTCTGGCGTCCTTATGTGATGTTTGATTCGCTTGCTGATCGGTGCTTTTTCAACCCCCTTTTGGGCCTTACAACACTGGCACAGTACTTTTTTCTATTCTGAAGTTCTGGGTCGGCGGGCAAGACTTGTTGCCGAGTCGGAACGCCAAAAATTAAAACTGAAATCCGCAAAAATACTTTGAGTTATCACTGCTCAGCTCACGTGAAGAGGTTTGCATGCATGCCATATGTGCCATTCCAACCACACACCAGTTCTCAAACTGGTATTACACATCAAGCACAGCAACAGGAGCTCATCACATTGGAACATAGGGGTGGTGAGTGTGTACATTTTGGGGATGGACATAATCCAGGGAGGTATTCCTTGGACACTGAGTTACCTTGTCGCTGCTGCTTCTTACGATGAAGTACGTCCTTTTTAAAATGTTTCACTCCAAGGATGTCATTCAGTTACTTGTCCATTGCCTGTACTAAGCGCCAGAGTCGTGTTCACACTGACTACTGTTCGACAGGCGCCATGCTGAACGGAACGTACGCGCCACTGAAGCAGCGCCACAATGGCGTCTGAGACGGCGCCCGAGCTCTCCAGCCGACCGGCAGAGCTCCCCAGCCGACCGGCAGAACTCCCCAGCTGACCGACAGAACTCCCCAGCCGACCGGCAGAGCTCCGCAGTTGACCGGTAGAGCTCCCCAGCCGACCGGCAGAATTCCCCAGCCGACCGGTAGAACTCCCCAGCCGACCGGCAGGACCCTGCAGCATATGGGTGAAGCTCCCGCCGACCGGCAGAACTCCCCAGCCGACCGGCAGAACTCCCCAGCCGACCGGCAGAGCTCTGCAGCTAACCGGCAGAACTCCCCAGCCGACCGGCAGCGTTCCCCGCCGACGACAGAGCTCCGCAGACGCCGCTGTCCACGCAGTGAGTCATCAGGCAGCTTGTCGCCAGCTCTGTTGCGGAAACGGCTCACACCAAGGCCACAGACCGCCGATACCTGAATGACTTTGGAGAAGGCAGGGTCCGTACACCGCACTGCCCATGCCGACGACAGCTAGAGTCAGAGCCGCCATACCACAACGTCGCACTGACCACAGCTGGAGTCGGAGTCGGAGTCGGAGTCGGCAAGCACGGTCCGACGCCGGTGCGTGCCCTGGAGGTGGCCGCTGCCCTCTGTCGCCCGGAGGCCTCCTTTGAGACAGCGCCGCCAGTGTCACCATCTCTTGTCGGCGCCGTCCCGTGGTGACAACGCGCGCGCGCGCGCGTGTTTGTATGCGGAGGACTGCCCTGTGACACGCGCCAGCTGACACTCGTGAGTGGGTGGAAAGGCGCCGTTGACAGCGAGCCGGCGCGTGAGAGGTCAGCGTCATCGGACCACACCGCCATGACACGAGCAAATGGTTTGCTTTGAAAACCTCGTGTCGTTGGCCGGATTAACGTCAACGCTACAATAACGATAGTTGGTAGCGTCAAGGCGATACATGTGCACTGAATTTGCCGGACACAGGATAGCCGCCCATGCGCTGCCACCAGCGGATCGCCCGTTCGCAGTGTCTGGCGCTGTAAGTCATGCAGTTACTAGAGATGGGTTGCATCTTGTTAAATGTGAAAGGTCTTGATTTGTCTTACCGACCTTGTCGTATTACGTATTAGTTACGGTGTCTTCAAATGCATTTTCATGATCATGTCATGTTGTTAGCATATATAAGAGCGTAGTTGGTGGATTACAGATTATGCCCTGCCACGATTCCCTGCGGTTTTACTCAGCGGTGACTTTCTTTAAAGCTTTGTTTTCAAACAGCTGACAGTCGCCCCCGTGTCGTAGTCGGCCAAGACACCGATCCCGCTCCACTTGTGCGCCGAGCGGAAGCGTCGTTGACGACTCAGTGACCACACATCAACGCCTGCTATGTCCACTGGGGCCATGTCAACCGCACAGCTGATTAAGCCGCGCGCGAAGTGATTGTTTTCCTTTTTGTTTTGTTTTTCAAATACAGAAGCATCCACGGTCTGGCGTATCGTGTGATATCGCTTCCTCCCAACACCGAATCAACATGCTTGATATTTTCCAAAAGGAGGAGACCGATGTGATCTGGCGGATGCCAGGTCCCACCTTGCGGGTCTGTCATAGATCCAGTCTTCGGATCGGCATTGATACCAGCGCGTTTGCGGATCTTTGGATCCATTGATCGCGTCACTATGCGGTTATGCTGTAATATTTTCGGTGCTAAGTCAAGCACCGGTTTCTTACGGCATCGTAAACCATCGCAACGTCATGCCAACTGGTCGTCGAACATGAGAGCCATGAGAGCCATTCCTGCCAGGGTGAGAGGCAGGCGACGCCATATAGCCTTAGTAGCTGGGTGCGTCGTAAAGCCCCAATGACAGACAGACACAGACAGAACATGAGAGCCTAATGCGGGAGCACCGAAAAACAATAGGCACAACTAGGTCCAGATGACAACACGGGGTTGCAACGTCACCAAACCACAACGTTGGGCGAGACACAGATCATACATTTATCACGCTTTGCCATCGAGTAGTTATTCGAGGGTCACCGCATTCTTGCAGAAATATACTTGTCACTGTTAACATTACAGTCAAAGTTGCCACTCAATTGATTGTCACCCAGCTGGCTGGGTTGACTGGATATGAGTTGACTGAACTGTCACGTGAGTTGACATATCAGGACCACCTTGCATGCTCGGTAGCTTCCCATTAACAGTCTGCTGACTTCTTCTTTCTACGATTTTTTACAAGCCTGATGTATTGATAAACCAAGAACTAACGGCACAATCTGGAGACCTCTCAGTGCTTGATGTGTTCTTCTCACAGAAAAGAAGGGATACTTTTGCATGACTACGTTCACACAACTTGGGATTAGAATATATATATATATATATATATATATATATATATATATATATATATATATATATATATATACCAGTCTCCGATTTGTGACATACGGACTGCTTTCTTAGAAGCCATGGCATGTGCGGACTTGTAATACAGTATAATTAGAGCGGTCATGGTTTGAAATCAAACATTTAATTCGTACTTTTTGGTAGGATATGTTTCTGTGATGTGAGCCCACGCTAAGCGGCTCTTGTTTGGTGAACCCTGGCCTGATCGTAAACTTCCGAGTCAACGGCAGAACTTGGCAGCGAAAGCTTAACGCGCCGACATGACCGGCACAGTCCATCCTGCCCCCTGGCGCCAGCTGACCGTCAGAGCGGCCGTCGTCACTGGCCGCGGGCTGTCCCAGTCGGTGACCTACAGTGAACCCGGCAGTCGAACCCACCGCGCCGCAGGTCTGTGAAATGGAAGGCGGGGCACTCTTACCAGCTGAACTGTCGGGATGGACTAAAGTTAACTGCGGGACGGGAAGATTTAAAGTGCGGCCCGGCGGTGTATCTTCCACCTCGTACCTCAAACGGTGCCGAGGAATGGAATCAACATTTTGTGAGGTGTGTCCAAGAGGTGCTGTGGACATCGGTATTGGAACACTGTTGACAGACTTCGCGAAGAGCTCTGACCATGACCGCAGCTTCGAGACGTCGAGTTTCGTCAAGATAGCGCAGCTTCGAACGTCGAGTTTCATCAATATAGCGCAGTTTCGAGACGTCGAGTTTCGTCAACATAGCGCAGCTTCGGGACGGCGAGTTTCGTCAATACAGCCAATGCTCTTTTGATAGCGCCGTTTAACCACTTACTCCTGCTATACCGAACGTCGATTATTTTCATCATGAGAACTCCGAACTCATCACACCGAAACACTAAATTCACAGCCTGCGTTGCTTATATCAACTTCCATCAGGTGTTCAAACGTTGGACGTTAGCTACATTGAATAAATAGGGTGCTCCATGTTTGTGTTGGGTTTCGAACTGAGGTAGCCATTTTGAAGATCTTCCGGTGCAGTTCACAGCCCTGCCCGTATTACAATCTTAAAACCATCTGAATTCTGAACTAGACATTCACGAAATTGCGGAACTACTTCAAGGTCACCAAAGCATGCATAGCGCTACAGACACGTCTTTCAAACATTGCCACCTTGTTGGCCATGCGGCGTCCAGGGCCAAGGCAAGAACAACCATTGGCGTATTCGCGTCTGGCGTACGTGAACATGATTTCTGGAGCCGAAGAACTCCAGCAGACACAGATGCAATTGCATAGGTCGTTACAAATATTACCACTAGTAAAGGCCTCACGGCATGAAATAAAACGTCCTTCGGTGGTCAGGAAATAAACCCGAAGCAATGACAGGACTGCAAACTGGCTGTGGAATGGACACAACCACAGGTTAAAAACCTAATACATAGCATCCCCACCGCAGATCACCTCCGCGTTTGCGATGTTTTTCCGCTATCCCTACCGACGATACATCCTGCGCGCTCCACTCGTGCCATCTGTCGGCCACGGCGGGAGTCAACTGGCTCGTGGAACACGGTGGACAGACGCACGAATGACGCGCGGTATAAGGTCGCTTACATACAGCAGCCGAGAAAACGGAGAGAAACAGGCATCCACCCCGCTCGAGATGCGCTTACTTTGATAACAACGCTCTTGCACCCATCCCAACACTGACCAAGGCTCTCATGTATCTATTTTAAATGCGTAAAACCGGTGACTTTCTGGAACATAATATCACTGTAGGCACTGGTCGCAAACTTATGGCGGTTTTCGGCAGCAAGAAGCCCAATTTTAGGCGTTGTTAAGTATTGATACGTATCTCAAAACCTAAATCAGATGGAGGTGCTAAGCAACAGCACGGACAAAAAAGTACCAAAAGTAGGGGAAAACACCATCTACAAATCACTACCGGACCTCAAAAACCGTAGGGCAAGTAATCGACCGGAAAGCAACCAAAGTTGGTCTGCTTTTTTAAAAGCGCGAGGCACGTTGTCACGCTCCTTTTATACAGCGTCAGCGACTGTATTCGTCATGTCAAAGCTCAGGGCTCACGGGGCAAACGGGGTTAGAAACTGGGCTACCTCGTGTGAGTTCCAGGTGCTTACCACCTGGCCATTACGCCCCCGTGTCAGTCTGCTGATTTACAGCGTTAGATACATACGAATGGGGCAAATCAAATGACGTCAATAACAAGATTTGCAAAAAAGAAGCAAAAACAAAAAACACTCACGTGCACACGTTGACGAGGGTCATTGTGACGTAATCCGGGCATTACAACGCACTCTGATCATGAGACTATATGGCACCGCCTGCCTCTCACAAGGCCGGCGCCACGGGAATTGAACTCCGTACCTCTGGTCCCCAGGCGCGCAGATGCACCAAAATACACTAGCGGTACCCTCGGTGAGGGATCCTCAAGTGCATTCCCATATCTATTGGCATGGATCCCTAAAGACGACTGGTTCCACTTACTTATGTTCTGGTATCATCTCCATGAATATCATACTTCCGTTTGCTATGACCCACATCACCCCACGCTGCCAGCGCCTCACTAAGGCAAGTTGCTCAGCTCTGTCGTCGACAACAATGTAGCTATTCACTCTTTTCACCGATATATCTAATAATGTTCTGTTTCAAACCTCCATTCTTTGAAGCTCACTCTATCCGTCAGAACCACATCTTCCTGACAAAAAACACAAGTTTGGTCGGTCCGTTTTGACAGCTGTATTAGAACTGTGGCACACACCAAACCAAGTGGCCATATCACTTCCACATAACCAGCACATACACCCCGAACGTCTAGCTCGCCGCCGGCAGCCGCTCAAACGGCCGTCGAGATGGCCTCCGTGTACTTCTTGATCCTCGAGGCGATCGACATGTCCACATACTTGTCGCCGACGGTGACCACCATGCCACCCACGATGGCAGGGTCCACCTTGGTGGAGTACTTCAGCACCTCGCCCTTCTTGAGGAACGCCTTGAGCGTGGCCTCCACTTCCTTTTGGCCGGCGGCGTCTAGCGGCTTGGCTGTCGTCACCTCGCACACCACCTGCGGAGCGGTCAGTGGTCAGGGCGGGGCACCTCAGCGGCCACCTGCGGAGCGGTCAGGGTCACGGGCGGGGCACCTCAGAGCACACCACCTGCGGAGCGGTCAGGGTCAGGGCCGGGGCACCTCAGCGGCCGCACCGCAGCATGCAGTCGCTCAGAGCACACCACAGCCCTGCAGACTACCTGACACGAACGCTCGTCCAGGAATTGTACCTAAACGATGCACTTGCGCACTACCCTAGGCACACCGAAAACCGTGGTGCCACGGCACGAGACCGGCGCAGGTTCCTGAAGATACACTTCTGCGCGCAGGCGATGAACGAAGCTGCCACTGGCGCCACCTGCTGTGCACATACGAAACCTTCCTTTTCAACGAACGACATCCCAGCCTCGACCTTTCAGCGTTGCCGCTCACACACGATCTCGGACGTGCACGTCATACTCACACGGATCTCGGAAAAGGAGTGGCGGTTAGCTATTTGCCGATGACTCCACATGATCGTAACAGACAGATAACTTCGGGGAAAACGTTATGATGGATGCACAAAGATCTATGCTCTTCCAGGACCGTGGCGAGGAAACGACACTAGGCAAGAGGTAAGCAAGACATGTGGACACCGCAAGCAGGGCGAGGGACGTAGGTTATGGGAGGCCTACAGTGGTTCGACAAGATAAGTACTGCAACAAAAACTCCTACAGATGGGAGCATGTTCCGACATTGCTTTTGCTGTCAACACTTATGCACGACATTAGTACCACACCACCATACAGCTTAAACAGGAAAAATGTATACCTGTCATCACTTACACTGCAAGAGCTTATGCACATATTACACACGAAACTGCATCTACTGCAGACTTATACGCGACACTGGTACCACACCACAAAACCCATACCTATACAGACATTACAACACACCTGTAAAACCAGACTTACAGACATCACGCACGCCATTTCATGCAGCGCAGACTTATACGCGACATAGGTAATTCGCCACAAAGCCTATGCTTCAAAAACTTACACCCATTATTACATATTCTGCAACATCGTGTACAGTCCTTGCTTATGTACATTACTTCCACTGCAAGGACTCACATGCAACAGGAGTGCAACAAGACAAAACTCGTGCTTACAAAATGCATGGCTGTCATTACTTTTACCGCAAGAACTTGTGCATTCTTGACATATAATGAACACCTCCTATATCTCCGATCACCCTACATACTTTCTGTAGCGTGCAAAATGCGTGGACACTTAGCAGGAGTGTGGGAACAACTCGCAGGTCAGAAGGGAACCCCAACTCAGTCGGGGACCCCACCCACCCTCATGTGTGACAGGAATGTGTGTCACATTCTGAACAAACGCCTTATTTCATACATTTTGGAGCAGGTTTGGCATTCATCCAGGCTGAGCCCAAACTTATTTTGCCAAACTGCGGCACAACAGCGTACGTTTGTCAGTAGACGCAATGTTAGGTCGAGCCATTGCCGTCGTAGGTCTGTCCATCACAACAATTACGCCAGGGTTGACGTGCCAACACCATGGAGTGGGCACCCGTAATCTGATTTCATTCGTCCCCGTGCACCCATGTGTTCGTTACCTCCGGGACTTTGGCGAGGCTTAAGGGCTGCAGGCTGATGGCTGGATTTCAAATTTAGTCGTGCAGCACTGACTTACATGTTGGGGTAAAATTGCTGTTGCACGTAAGTAAATACTGTATAAATCTTTGCTGAGGAAGCCAAGGCGGGTACATATTTTTTGCAGCATGAGTTTTGTCATGTGACAGTCATGTACTAGATGGGTTTTGCACCAGAAGAAATATCCTGTATGAGTAAAGAATATACAACATTTTGCAATCCATGAAATAGCAGGCATATGTTTTTGAGGCACACATTCTGTCATGCAGCACCCATGTTCTGTATGTCTTTAGAGTAGAAATAATGCAGCATGTGGTTCAGGTCTACATAACATCAGGTCTCCATAAAACTGGTGTCAGAGCAGTGACCCCTGCCAGTAAGTTTTTGACTAATGACTGCACTCTTGGGACTTTACTAGCCACTACACACCAAATCAACAGAGAACTGGTCACTCGGGCTACTGGAAATCCCTTGGCCATGGGTTTAAGTCAAGAACATACAAAGTTCCCACTGACAGAACACTACAAACACAACAAAATGCTCATGATTCCAGCCTGCCACACTTCTAGTTTCGTGCTTGTGCTGCTGTGCTGTTTCAGTGGTTTGACATGGCATGGACTCACCTCACCACGGTGCGCCGCCATCAGCGTGCGGAAGGAGGTGGCCACACTGTCCAGCTTGTTCAGACGGCCATTTTCGGCCATCAGCAGCAACAAGTTCTTGGTTGAGTCCGCTGTCTTCTTCTTAGTGGCCACCATCTCCATGGCCTGTCGCTTGGCTTCCTTCTGCAGGGTGGGGTTCAGCACAAAGTTGCGGAACATGGTGTCGGTCTTCAGGAGGTCCTGCACCTCAATCAGGTCCTTTTCCACCTTGTCCAGTGACTTGGACTTGCTGGCAGCCGAGTACAGAGCAGATGCATAGCGCCCTTCGATGCCATACACCTGCCAAGAAATGATGGCGTGAAGCTGACTGTGCAGAAGTAAAGGCTGCCTAACTACATGCGATAGAAGGGTGACACATGGGGTTGAAGGTTATCACATAAGTGACAGCAAAAACAGTACTGCCTTAGGTGGCTGGCGTCATTTCAGGTTCAGTGACCAAGTAATCCTTCTCACAAATAATGAGTTCACCCAAAATGCGAAAAACTCAAACACAACAGTTAACAAATCATGGTGCTCACACTGCCATAATGAAATCCTTTCCCAAAAATGGCATTAAACAAAAACAAATAAATAGTGCCACAATGCAATGCAGGCAAAACCTGCAACCAACTGAATCAAAGTCAACAACCTGACAAACATTTGCTATAAAGTAATGTTTTAGTCATATTATATCTTCAGGAAGCTGAGTCTAATGAGAAACAATCCATACCAACAATAGACCTGCCCTTAAAAATACAAAAAGTTATAAGTTGATAACAATTTGTGACTTTGCCAAGTCTTCAACTGCAACAAGTCTCTTTTGTAACAAAAATAACAGCTTTTTGAGCCTTGCATTACATGCCTTAAAGAAGGCTACACTTATACACCCTCCCAAACGGAAGATGGATACGCACCACGCTTATACACCATCCAAAACGGAGGACGGTTACGCATCGGGCTTATACACCCTCCAAAACGGAGGACGGTTACGCATCCGGCTTATACACCCTCCAAAACGGAGGACGGTTACGCATCGGGCTTATACACCCTCCAAAACGGAGGGTAGTTACGCACGGGGCTAGTACATCCTCCAAAAAGCTTTCAGGGGTAGCATGCGCCAAGCGTACGCAGACTGCCAGTCTTAAAGGAAAGCAGGGCCAAACATGTAGAACCTCGTGCGAAAACTCGGCTCGATGCGTTATATGCATGAGACGATCGCGAAGCCCATCAACCCACTCTGAGCCAGTTCTTCTCTGATCATAAATTATCGTCCACCGGGTCTGGATCCACGGTGGATGGGTGGTTAGTGTACCGGTCTCACGCGCTGTAGACCCGGGTGCGAATCCCAACGACGGCCACTCTCCAGTGGGCGGCTTTACAGTGTATCGGACCGGCATGACACTTCCTTGCTTCACTCTTAAACGCGGTAAATTCTAACCTGGGCTTTTCATATCGGACAGAAGCGTAGTTTCCTGTGCCTAAGCGAAGGAGTCCACACTCTAGAGATACTAAAGATCCCGTGAACGTTGCCCGTAAGTCTAAATGAGGCCAGCGAGCTGAATAAACATAGGCACACCTGTTTCATCTGGTAACGCTAAGCTGTAAGTCATAATCAACTAGTGAAAAGCTACATGCACACTACCGCTCCGTTCAATAACTTAAAGATCATTCCGTCCCAGCGCGGGGTGTCTACCAGCTGCCATTCTGTCAACAGGCAGTTGGCTTCGCATGGTGGTTTCGCCCGGAGGCCCCCACAGATTACATCCTACATTGGTGCCCTCCCTGGCGCGGAAGGCCCTCGGGCGGCCTCTGGCTGGAGCATTTGACTCGGACAGGCGCAAGAGCCCTCATTGGTGCAACAAGATCCCTGATAACCGCAGGTGTTCCAATTACTGGCACAGAGAACCTTATTTGGCCGACGGGACCCTGGCTGAAAATCGGTGAAGGGCCCGCGAGGACCCCGGATCACCCCTGGCCAACTCGGGGCTCCTGTCATGGGATGCCCTGTTGGGTACTCTGGGGGCCTGACCCTCAAAAGGCCACTGATTGTTGTAGGGACTCCAACTAATGCAAATTGCAGGCCTTGGCCTCATTACTGCTAGAACAAATGGGGGCCCAAGGGCTCAGAATAACACAGAGTCAACTATTCAGTGTAGTGGTCTCTGGCCGAAGTAGGGGCCCATATTGTCTCAGAGGTCCACAATTGGTGAAAGAGGCATATTGCTTGACATTTGGGGTCATAGTCATATGGGCCAGGATGACCTGCAGCCTTCCAACCATTACAGCCATTCAGCCATCCCATCGTGCCATTGATAGCCAGTCTTGAAAGGCACACGGCCCCTCTTCAGGCACACATGAACACTCCATGACTGACTCAGGGGCGCTTGTCAACACCTGACTTCCCGTTTGGCGTTGTGCACCCTGGCAGACACAGAGACCCCTCGGCGACTCAGGGCGCACAAACAAATATAAGTCGCTTATGGGTCCTGGCCTTGTCCCTGCTTGGGAAATGGGCTCCCAGACCCAGACAGACACTGAGCGGACTGTTCAATATTGGCAGAGCCTAAGTGACATAGAGAACCTCACCCCCTCAGGGGGGCAATTTGAAATCAAGTTTGAAAAGCAAAAAAGTGAAAATAAAAAAGCATCCCAAAACCTATGGCAACATGTAAGTTTCTCCTCAAATTTGGTCTAATTTCTTCTTGAAAGAGCACTGATGAGGGGGGGGGGGATCCTCAAGGACATAGAAAACTGTACCACTGCCCAGTTTTATGGGCCTCAGCTTTTTTCTTTAGACAGGTGTGACATGACCATTGCTTACATCATCATTCAAATTTTGTGGGATAAGGATGTCCATCTTAATCACATCACTGTTCAGGGACACTATGGCCACTGGGATCAGCCAGGCCTACCACTTGACAGCCAGATGAGTTAACCACCTGGTCACTGCACCCTCCCATTCAATTTTCTACACTGTAGACATACAGAAAATTGCTTTTATTAGACAGCGACAATTAAATGATCATCTCATACCAATATTGCCTATTTCTATCGACTCACAGCTCTAACTTTTCATCATTTCTGTAAGCAAATTGTTCAATCTGGAGATTTTTGGGGATGCATCATTCAATATGCCCAATGTGCAGTCTTGCTCCATTATGGAGAATGCATCAGCCTGATGCCAACCAGCCATCTGTTTTGGAGGGAGTACAAGTCTGGTGCATAACCACCCTCCAATTTGGAGGGTGTGTATATGATGCCTTAAAACATTGAGCAGCATCAGAGCAACAGCTCCCAGTTAGTAGATGTGAGGCACTACCAGTGGTGCTGCATGTGCATTCCATTCTCATAGTTATGCAATATTTAAGGAAATTAGGGTTTGCATGCTGAGCAGGACAGCATAGAGAATACAATATACTAACAGTATATAGTTTGACCATGTCGAGCACATTTCCAAGTTACATGCCTGAGCAAGACACCTTAATTCAAGCTCATGGCTGTACCAGTTGGTCAATAACAGTAACAAAATATGCATGTATGTCTCTACTGATATAGGACAGGCAATAATTTCAGCATAATTTGCTCTCACGTTTAAGACATTTTGTAGCCAAACCATCGCTACACCCAGATACCTATCTATGATGTCGCTGATATATTCATCATATCTGCTGATTCTACGCGGCACTACGAAAACATACAGCTCACCCGGCACTCAAATCCCAAAAATCAAGCACACACGGAAGTGGCAAGAGCGCGAACAGCATGATAAATACCTGAATAGGTGTCTTGATCATTGCCCGGGCAATTGGAGAAGTGCTGAGCCGACGGACAAGCGTTAAATTACAGGAAGCCATGTTGCACGCCTTATCCACGCACACAAAACAAACTAAAATGCCGGTGCACCAAAGAAATTTCACGAAGTTTTTACGTCCGGCTTGCACCGTGCAGGGGGCACGAGAGAAATGCGAGGAAGTTGGAGATGTTGTGTTTCAGTACCGGTAGAACCAAATGGCACTCAGTACAATTTAAGAATCTAACAAAAACCTTTAAAGAAAAAAACGACATAATGAAAAGCTATAAAACATTATTTTAAAATATTGCTAGAGTTGTATTACATAAACAATGTGACATTTATTTATTTGATTCAAAAGACAAGACATCAACTTTGTCGTGCAACGCAAATTCTACCGAAACTGTTTTATCTCAGCTAAGTACTATTTGTGAGGAGACGAGAAAAAGAAAGAACACCAAGGAAGAGCCAATGCGCTAATTTTGTGGTGGACATGGAACCTCTTAAATTACTGTTATTTTGTGAAACGTGCCACAAGTGCATTGCATGAATACCACATTCATATCGTGTGTTGGAAATGTTATGGACCTGGCTGTAGAATGACTAAGTTACCTCGTAGATGAAAATCAACAGAACCCACTTCACCAAACCGACAGGCGTGCATGATTAGGGGCGCTGATCCTATGCATTGATTATGAATATTAACATATTGGTGATGGTTTCTCGGGTGTCAAAAACCTCATGTTCTGTTAAGCTGCTTATTTAGCGGCATTTGAGCGACTTATGTGGCAGGTTGTGGTATATTTAACAATCTGAGACTTATTTCTATCTCACCTCACATTCTGACAATTTTCCCTGCCTTTGTGGTGCGAGCGTATCCTCTCATTGTGCTGTATGATGCTGACTTCCCACTAGCTCGCGTACATGGATGTAGGAACAGGTTGAGTGGCGTCGCAGGGGGGCCATGACGCCCACTTTTCAAGGTGGGGGAGCAGTGCTAACTGCCTCCCCCACTTTTCGGATTGACGTTGTGTCCAGGTTACTTTTGCACTACATTTAGCATGCATGCCTTCATCTAGTTCACCAACCACATTCCTCAAGACCCCATCATCTTTTCCATCCTCTCATTGGGCATCGTTTAGTTTCACAGCCACAGGGGCAGCGCTGCGCGGCCTACGGAAACTGCAACGCACGTCAAGCCTGTTGTTATGACTTACGAGCGCACGTGTTCAAAACCATATCACACGGTTTTTTATCATTAATCAGTTCTGACTAAATCTTGAACATTTCAAGACGAACATGGATTACATATGTCAATACAAATCTGGGACCCCATATCATCTACAATTTACGTTCAGGGAGTCCTCAATATCACTAAAGTACACAGAAAAAACATCGAACCGGAGTTTATGTGACAATTTTTAGACTACCTGTGACGATCAGGGATGTTGTCGCGCCAAGGAGGGTTCCTTTGCTGATCGGGCGCGAACTGCGTGGGTCAGAAGGTCACCCGCGTCAAGGAGGGGAACACTGTAATATGATATATCCTAATAACCTCTGGATCGACCAGGAGATCCCGCCCCGTGTCGCCAGAATGACAGCCAGAAGATACTTCACGATGGGACGGAGTGGCCCTATAGCCCTTGACCGGAAACGGTAATGTGCTCCTGGTGTTCTTCTTAAGGGGCCCATTGCCCGGGGGGGGGGGGGGAATAATGGGTCTTGATATAGTTCAATAGAGTGGGGTCTGATTCCTGCTGAATAGAAGGTTAAAATAAGTAAAAGAAAAACGAACAAGGTCGTCGCATGTCCACCTGAGAACACCCATTTTTCGGAATGGGTTATTGAAACAAATTTCCTCAAAGGGTTTGAACATACCCGCCCGCAACATCGAGAGCAAGGACAGCGATGACTTGGGTTGCAGCTTCCTTAAAACCGAACGGCGTCGGCCACTGCAAGTGGCACCAGACGGCGGGCATCGTGTAAACCTGTCTTCTGGACAGATAGATAGTTAACGAAACACGAAAAAATAGATATTCTACTTTTGCTCTGTCAGTTTCAGCACCAGATTTCAGCACCACTTCCCGGTGCTTGAAAGGCTAATCCGTTATCATCAGCCTTAAAATCGCACATGTAAAATATGTGCCCAGACTGCGTTCCTAATGTAAGATTTGATGCGCTCAAGTGTTCAAAGATACTTATTTCAGAAGCGTCGTCATTTTTGTCCACCCGTTGGCAACAGCTTAGTATTCGCTGCTGCGCCGACGCTCCGCGGCCTATGGAGACTGTAACGTCAGGCGCTGAGGCTTTTGCTACTAAGCTTTGCGAGTGCACATGCTCAAAATGACATTACATAACTTGCACTACTTATCGATTGAAGTGTTCAAATACAATTATTTCAGAACCGTAAGCATTTTCGTCCACTGGGGGCCACGGCTAAAAGCTAGCCATTGGACTAACTCTCCGCGGGCTATAGAGACTGCAACGTCTAGTGTCGAGGTTTTTGCGACTAAGGTTTTTACGAGCGTGCATGGTAAAAAAGCAACATTTTACATATACGGTATCACCAATCGCTTCTGCCTGAATGCTAAGCATTTTCAGACAGACGAGCTTGGGTATGTCAATAAGCATTGTTGACCACTCCATCTACAATCAAATTTTCATCTTCAAATTTCGGTAAAACATAGATCTACAAGCTACCTTCGCGATATCCTTGATGTCTGTAGAACCCACATACAAATTCTGACAAAGGTCCTGAATTCTATAGGTTTAGGAGAAGTCCACCAAGCCATTGTAAATTAAGGGCGCCGGTGACTTATTCCATGTGGTCGTTGAACGCCTGATTGCTGCAGTTTATTGACTTCAAAATACAAGCAAAATTTATCTGGCGGTAGCTTCTGGTTTCTGTTCCGGTTACAAGATAAAAAATGAGATTTTTTGGGAGGGTCATCAAAAGAGGGGCTCTTGTCAACCCTGTTTTCCCCCTTGGTAAGCCTCTGGTTACGCCCCTGCCTACACACAAAAGCAGATCAAGCCGTCTACGTTGAATGATGGACAAATGATGTCCCTTGGGCAATTTATACCTAAGTCAGGCAGCTTCCCGGAGGCTTTTTTATTTCTTCGGTGGTGTGGTGTATGGGAAGATAATTCGAAAAAGTTACGGATATCCAAAATATGTTTTAGACCCCAATAAGACGTAGTGCTGATCCAGAAATATGCAACAAAACAGCCATACGATCAGTTCGCAGTCATGCGTGAGACAGCCGGGCCGGGGCAGTGGCCGCCAACGGTGGACGGGAGCAGGGCCCAGATGAGGAATATCTGACAGAGAGGTCTTCATTCTGTACCTTGGTTTTGAAAGAAAAATTTCCTGTTTATGGCTTTTCACCTTATTTTAGGCATTTGGGGCTTCCAAATTTGTTTTTGCCTAAAATACTAAGACAAGTCTCATCTCTTGAAAAGCGACCGGCGAAATGAAGGCGCATGAAATACCTGACGCACTGTGAGCCATCGATTCGGTTTCAAAATTCTAACCAGCCTATGCCCATGTCGTATTTTGTTATCCACCCTGTAGAGGCAGATGCTTCCTTAATGACCCAAAATGCCTACCCGCTCGTGGAATCTCGCCTCCCCAGAAAAGACAATGCTGAAAGGGAAGAACAATCTTGGGAAGCTGGATAGCCTTATTTGCTAAATGACATAGGATTGGTGAGTCGAATAAGCAAGATACGCACCGGCGAGAAATAGCTCTAGCTGCATATCTAGCATCGCAGTCATGACATTTGAATAAAGAGCGATAACAACCTCCATCTCCACCACACCACCCCTCCCCCCGGTCATCGGGCTTGTTTTCCAGAACAAGTTTCGGAAGTACGCCCTATTCTTGCCCCCCCCCCCTCCCCCCTTCCACACTCTTTGAACCGTTCCTACGCCTATGCTCTCGCATATTTTTTGTGGTCTAGTATGACAATGGGAATTCGTGAGCCTTTGTGTCGGACAATATATGGTCATTCAGACCATTAACTGGCACAGCTGACGTGCACGCTCGGTGCCGAATATGGCAAATTGACATGTTGGAGCGGGTGCTGTATTTAGGCTGGTGGCATCACTGAAGATCCTGTGAACAGTGCGGGGAGGGGTGGCGGTCCGAATTCCCTGGTCCTGGGAAAGCAAAAATCTTTGGGGGGGGGGGGGCGGAAGACCAAGACATGACTGAAAATTGCTCTCGGAAACACGGGTATCCATGACTCGGGGACTCGAGCCATCGGGGCCTAGCTCAAAATGGAAGTGCCCACCCCTACGAAATTTAGCGCACCTCGGTTTTGGACCACTTTAGTTCGAGAGAGATGCCTTTTAATTGCGATATTTGAAAACAAGTAACATTTTGTGAGAAACCAATTTTCAGACCAGGTATCAGTTGCAAATATGCCTGTTGCAACAAAAGCATTTGTTGCTGCAATAACTCACCAAATTCAAAATGAGCTGCTGGACATCATGCCGGAGATGCTACAGCTAGAGTTACTTCAGGAGCTGAAAACGACACCTTTCTTTTCGCTGATCGCGGACGGCAACACTGACGTCTCAGCTACCAAGCAGCTGTCCGTCTTCTTCAGGCACGCGGATGACTCAATGAAGCCACATGAAGTCTTCATGGACTTGTGTGAGTGCCCCGACGCTGGCGCCGCGTCTTTGTTGAGTGTTGTAAAGGATGCCATGGATAAATTGCTTGGTGGCACGAACGTATTGGGAGGCCGTTGTGTTCATGGTGCCAGCAACATGTCTGACAGGGTTTCTGGAGTGCTGGCAAGGCTTTCCCAGAAGAAACGTAATTCCATCTTCGTGCACTGTTCCAATCACGCGCTGGACCTTAAAGAGGCAAAAGAAGTGCCACTGGTGGCCGAAGCAGTAAATCTGGTGAGGACTGTGTTGACATGCCTGAACACTGCAAAGAGGAAGAACATGTTCGCGGAGCACATTCGAAGCGGAGATGACGGAGATGGCGGTGCCAGTGGAGATAGAACACGCCGCCCTCCGAAAACTTTTGACTGTGTCCAGCACGGTGAGCTATGAGGTGTCAAGCGTTCCGGTGTTTTTTAGACAACCTTGATGCGGTCGTTGAGACACTTGAGGACCTGTATGAGAACAGATAAGTGCACCCAAATACACACAGCTGGATGAGAGGCATCCTGGAT